CAGACCCGCACGTGTCACCATGGCATTACCGTCTCCTGTGCTCGTATGGGCTGATGTACAGCTGAAGTATGTGCGGCCATAACCACTGCAGGGAAAATGAGAAATATCTTTATTTGCATGTTGTAAAAACACACGCTGTATTAATAATATGTACAACCTCATACTTTACCAATAAATAATTAAATTATAAATAAAATATTACATTATATAAATGTTACAAATAAATGATTTTTAAAATAATAATCATAGTTTTGTCATTAAAAAAATAATATATATTTTAAAATCAATCTTTTATTATTAATTTGGTGAACAAACAGAACCAATCAAACTTAAAAGATGCAATTAATAACAACTGTAAGAAAAAGCTTTTTGAAAAGCCTTTGAATATTAATGTTGCTGCTGCTACTAACACACAAAATACTTATTAAAAAGTTCTCATTAATTAAAATAAAGTTGAACTAAAATATAATATAAATATTAGATGAATATAAGTTCACTAAAATACATAAAACTGAATTAAAAATAAAATATATTATTATTATGTAATAAATAAATACCATAACAGTATATAAATAACACAAAAATAACACTACTGAAGGCTTGAGACAGAAAACTCGATAATTTCTCTTACCCAGTGGCAATGACGGTGTTCTTGGATCTGAAACGGTGGATGGATCCGTCCTCCATGCATAGTGCAATGACTCCCTTACACTCTCCATCCTCCATCAGCAGATCCAGGGCAAAATACTCGACAAAGTAACTGGTATCATACCTCAGAGACTAGACACCAACAGACACAATTAGACAGGGCTCAACAGGTGTTCCAGTTCAGGCTGACTTTCAGAATCTCACTCACCCGTCCATAGAGTGTGTGAAGAAGGGAGTGACCCGTCCTGTCTGCCACACAACAGCATCTGTGAGCCTGACCTCCTTTACCAAACTTCAGACTCTGACCTCCGAAGGCACGCTGATAGATCTTCCCGTCCTCGGTACGGCTGAATGGCATACCAAAGTTTTCCAGCTGAAAAAACATAACATCCGCTGATGAGATTGGAGGAAATCGCAATCTATATCAGTCATACCGTAAAGTTTGAGTTAAAGACAAGGAAACAACAGGTAAAGAACAATAATCATTCTTCCTTGATACTTTCAAAGCCATAATGACAGTGACAGGTCATGTGATCATCTCTCACCTCCACCACTGCAGCAGGGGCCTGCTCGGTCATGTAATGAATGGCATCCTGGTCTCCCAGCCAATCAGATCCCTTCACGGTGTCATAAAAGTGCCAACGCCAGTCGTCGTCCTCCATGTTTCCTAAAGCAGCATTAATCCCACCCTTTTTTATAAATGGGAGAAATAAACGTTAAAAATAAATAAATAAAACATAAGCTGTGAGCCATTATGAATAAATTGATTAAATAACATGATTTTAATCTTTACAAAGACCTTTACAAATATTTATATATATATATATACGTACACAAACTCTGCCTAGCTTTTACAAATATATATATACGTACACAAACTCTGCCTAGCTTTTACAAATATATATATACGTACACAAACTCTGCCTAGCTTTTTTTAACTTAAAAAAGATAGGCAGTGCATAATTCATAGTCATATTCTAAGAGAATATTAATTTCTTTTGTTTTTTCAAAGAGGTGTAAGAATATCCGAGGTGTCGTTTCAAAGGTTGAGCTGCCTTGTGAACTTTAGACTTCTTGAACAGAAAATCCCTGCACAGCTCTCAGACGTTCTAAACGACTGATTCTCATTCAATCTCTTCCTGAGCAAACCACCTGATTCTGATGCATGAGTGTCTTGATATTATTCATTGTCCTTTAAAAAAAAAACTAAATTGTTCCTAAATTAAATATCAGCAAACCCTGATTTGTAAAAACTAGTATACATTCAGAGGATAAATTGTTATGCTGTTGCAGTATATGAGAGGGTATAGGAGACACATATTGTTTAATTACTAAATAATAATGAGAAGCACAAGAGAAAATCTCCAAACCTGTGCGGCCACTGTGTGTGAGCGGGTGGGGAAAAGTTTGGTGACACAGGCTGTGTTGAAGCCGGCCTCCGACAGACCGAAAGCGGCACGAAGCCCTGCGCCACCGGCTCCCACCACGACAGCATCAAACTCATGGTCCACTACTGGATACTGAGTGGAGATCTAAGAGGACAAATACCATAAACACATTGATCACACAAGGTCACTCAAATATGACATGTAATTGCCAATGCCAGATCTTACATGCAAAATGAAACCTGGTGAAACCAAACAAGGAAGCAAGCATAAATACTTACACCATCTGAGACTTTTGCATCTCCCTTTTTTCCATAGATGGAGAAATGCAATTTGCGGTTGCTCGCCTGGCACACGGCTGGCAGCTGGATGGAACAACAAAAATGTTTAATTAGTTTTTAATTTAATTTTAATAGTTTAGAAAACTAAGCAAAATCATATCTTTGATGTTTATCTATGCGTTTACATTTCAATGCTTTACCTTCATATTCTTGAGATTATATTTATTTATATTAATCTTTACTTTGTTGTACGTCTGTTTGAATTACTTGTTTTTATTTTTCCACCCTGTATGTATAATAAATTTAGGTTACACTTTATTTTAAGGTGACGTACACATTACTACATGTACCCACCTACTATAGTAATAACAGTAAATTATGCATAATTGCAAGTAACTAGTTCCCTAAACCCTAACTCTGTAGTAAGTATATGTAGTTAATTAATATTAATTTTAATATTACACAGTACTTATCCGAGTAAGTAAAATGTAACTACGTCACCTTAAAATAAAGTGTAACCTAAATTTTTTTAATAAAATCATAAATAAAAATAACACATACAAATGTGTTTGTTTCATACTTAGTAACAAAACATCACTGCAAAACAACACAGATAGTGACAGCACTCAAATGTAAGCTGGTCTTTATTGGTGACATAACAATGCGATGTCTGATTATTGTGTTTTATTTGAACAAAATATAGGTTGAGCAGTTATATTGGAGACTTATAAGATAAACCCATTTGCTATGCTTGAGTATGTTTATGTCGATTAGTAGGACACATATTACCATAACACATCCACAAACTTTAACAGGTGACTGTAGTAGCTGTCAGTTATGTCTGTAATACACTAGCCAGCCACAATTCTTACTTCAAATTTCACAGCAGTCTGTTTTTATTCTCATAATCAATGAGAAATGAAATAAAAACCATGCATTCAAACACTTCAGAAGAATTCACGATAATAATAACATGAGCTTTCAGTATCGCACGGCTAATGCTAACGCTGCCAGCTTGACCTTCAATAGACCCATGATTACAAAACATATAACTTCACTTCTATGAAATTACACATTACATTAGGTTTAAAACTCTTAAGTATTACTGATAAAAAGATAAGCTCCATAAATAAAACAGTATCATATAATGCGTTCACTCATGTAACAAAGACACTGATACTATGTAACAGTGTTACCTAACCCAGCAAATGATGGTTACAAAACCAACACATAACAGACTACAATAGATTACAGCGTCATCTCAGTATAAAACAATTAAACTCTCGGCATGCAAAGACCAAATGTCATTACAATAGAAAGAATGCTCAAGATCTGAGAGGACTTACAGCTTTAGATGACACAATCTTTTTGCCGAGGACACGGGAGGCAGCGCACACTGCAGCCATGTTGCTCGATTCTGTCTAAAACGCCAATGTGTGTTTGGAGCTCGTGTACGCTGTGATGTAAGCGGTAAAGGGAAGTCCGACTCATTTCCACGATTCGGTTCTTTCGAACAGTTAAAAAGATTTGGTGAGTCTTTTCTCTGACTCCACGACGCGGCGTAGCTACTGCAGTGTGTAATCGATTAGTTTAAATATATATATATATATATATATACACACTACCGTTCAAAAGTTTGGGGTCGGTACGATTTTAAATACTTTTAAAAGAATTCTCTTCTGCTAACCATGGCTGCGCTTATTTGATTAAAAATACAACAAAAATCAGTTATAGTATTAAATATTATTCCAGTGTAAATCAGCTGTTTTCTGTGTGAATATATAGTAAAGTGTGATTTATTCCTGTGATCAAAGCTGAATTTTCAGCATCACCAGTGTCAGTGTCTTCAGTGTCAAATGATCCTTCACAAATCAGTATAATATGAGGATTTGATGCTCAAGAAACATTTATTATTATTATCAATGTTGAAACAGTAGTTGGTCTGTCTGTGATTGTCAGTTGTACAGTTTTTTTTTTTTTTTTTTAGGATTCTTTGATGAATAGGGTTAGGGTTAGAATCTTTTGTAACATTATAAATGTCTTTACTGTCACTTTCGATCAAATTAATTATTCCTTGATAAATAAAAGTATTGATTTATTTCCTCCAAAAAATAAAAATAAAATTCTCACTGACCCCAAACTTTTGAACGGTAGTTCAACGGTAGAATATAAGTTTGTAGCCCACCTGATTAAAAAAAAAGGGGGAAAAAAGTTGTTGACCTTGTCGCAACATCAGCCAAATCCTCACCTCAAATACTCTTAGTTTGAGTTATGGGTTCGGTCTGCTTCGTGAATGGGTCTGTTTTGTGTCTCTTTGGCAAGGTGTCTCTGTCAACTGTTATTATACCTACAAAACAAACGATATTAATTTAAAATAAGTACAAGTGCTTACTGTATGGTGAATAATAAAACAAATATCATGATGTATTTATTTATCTTGATAAATTAATACTTAATAATAATAATAATAAACAAATTATTGATCATCATTACTTCTTAATTTTTATAACTAAAATATTTGAACATTTATCACTTAATTTAAAACGTGATTACAGAAAAGGTTGTTGTATATACATGCAGAGCAGCTCAACCAACTGATTGAAGATCCTATTCAAAAGAACGAATCGGTTCGAATGATTCACGAATCGGACATCGCCTACCAGTTTCCCAGCTTCAGTGAGGACCGTACCAATTGTCCACGCTGGGGGGGATTTGTTGTTAGCGTCATGCAGAAAACAAAGTCAAGCATGTATTTATACTGGGTGGAGTTCTTTACTGTAAATGCCACTGTATATAATATAGCCTTCACTCTTTAAATAAGCGATATTTTTGTCCAAGAGCATTAACGCAGGTGTTAGCTTTCCCTCGTCATAGTAGCGACTATTTGAAAATCTATTTGATAACGGGGGTCAAGTCAACTTCAGGTGCTTTGGCAAGGATACTGGCAAGGTATCACGGACATTTGATGTAGTATTGTACTGCCAGCATGTATTGATTGAGCTTGCATGATTAATGGGACGTTTTCTTTGTTAAATATAACTAGCCAAATCGCATATGCATGTCGTGGAAACAGGAAGTGTCATATTTCAACTAGGATATGGTCTTGCGCTGCTCAAATTTCTAGTTATGAATTAAATGTAAATGCTACATCAGTTTCATTATGTTTGCATAAGGACAATAATGCATCATTATAAATTTAAAAATGGGCATTTGGTTTACAGTATTTACAGTAGCATTTCCCTTTTTATATCACATTGATCATAGTTTGATTTAGAAGTATGTATTTATTTTTCAGCTGCAGTCCACATGAACAATCTGAATGACCCTCAGGACTGGAATATAAGGCCAGAGAGGCAGGGTGATGGCGGGGACAGCAGTAAGTGGAACTATGCCTTCCTGGTGCCCATGCTGGGGCTCGCTGCCTTTCGTAAGTACTACACAACACTATTGCCCTTTTCTAGTGTGTATGTTTTAATTAAGTGTACTTAGATTTTTATTTTTGGATTTCTCCTGGGGATGGTTTCCTAGGATGGATCTGGTCCAAGGAGTCTCAAAAGGAAATCGAGGAGGCCAAGGTCAAGTACGAAAAAAACGTAAAGACAATCCAGAAGGACCTGGATGTGAAGTACCGACAGACGCTCTCTGAGAACCGCAGAGAAACAGTTCAGCTCGAGTTTGATCTAGAGAAAGAAAAGCAGCGGGCACATGGCTACCGTCAAGCCCTGGCATCCCAGAGTCAGCAGCTCGAGGAGGAACGTCGAGGCATGAGGTTGGAACGTGAAGCTCTAGAAAACGAGAAAGCTAGATTGCGTTACGGAGGACCTGGTGGCGCCCTCTTCCATGAGGCTTTGCAAAAGGAAAAAGAGCGAGAGATGAGGGCTTCACTGGCTCTGAAGGAAGTAGAATACAGGCTGGTGGAAAGACAAAGGGCCTTTTGCAGTATTTTGGTGCCTCGTGCGAGGAGGGTGGAGATGGAGAAAGACCTTCTGGTTCGTACGGCCAAAGAGCCAATTCTTGCACATGTGGAGATGGAGGACGGTCTCAGGGATATTTTTAAGAATGATCGCAGTTGTGCAGAGTATCTCAACACAGATGAACGGAAGAATGGAAGTCTCATGTGGCTGTATCTCAGATATTGGCAGCTGCAGGTCACACTTCAAACACACCAGAGAGCTGAGGCTTCTATACTCGGCATACAGACAAAAAAGTGACATTGGTAGAACAGAAGTGAATCTATATCAGTAAAATGATGTACCTGTATTTTAAATGACCTCATTGCCAATAAAGTTAATGAGATTAAAAATGTTTTTTATTGATTTATTTGTGTGAAGAGCAAATTCAAATTTGTACATACAGTACTGAAAGTGTCAATACCATATACAGAGTAAAATACCTCATATTTTACTGTTGTAACTTGTAAACAATTTTTAGGACTAATAGTCAATATTCAAATATTTAACAAAACTCATCCATACCTCGTCCATCCTATCTAAATAATGCCACTGTTGACATGATGATACCAGAACGAGAGAAGCAGTCCATATCAGTGTGAACTTTTCCTGGTGTGTGTAATATCGAAATCACATATTTAATTTACATTTATGCATTTAGCAGATGCTTTTATAGCGACTTACAATACAGAAACATAAACAGTGTCACAGAGCAAACAACGTTCACAGTGTATTGTACAATGCCAGATTTATTAGAAAGGTATGAAATGCAAAGAATAAAGTCCCACTTAAATTAAAAGTGTTTTTAAAGTGCCACTTAAAATCAAATCCCTGACTGAATTATAGTTGAGGGTGGATAGCCATAAAAAGATTTGAGGAATAACAGCATTGTGTCCTTCAGTCTATTTTGGTCTTTAAAGGCAAGCTAAATTAGTCTTACATATTACATGACGCCTTAAAAGAATTTAGGTTTAACATAAAATAAAAAAAATACAGTATGCATACCAATATGGGTTGTGTAACGACATAAAGCCTTCTAATTTGTAGAAACATGTTGTTGCTTGCAGTGAATTTTTTTTCTTCTTGAAACCATGAAAGCAAGTAATTTGAAGATATGAGCAGGTTAAAATAAAAGCTGATGTACTCTTTTTAAATTTACCGGTAGTCAAAATGAATTATCTGAATGCACGTTTTTGTTCTAATGTTGTGTTTCTTGTACAGTTCTGCAACTATTCTTCTCCACTACACAAATTGTAACTATTCTTTAGACATGACAATATTTTTACAGAATGGTTCATGCAAAGGAGAATGAGAACTTAAATTGATTGTTTATGGAAAAGCATTGAGAAAGACAGAAGGGAAGACAAAGCCATTTGATTCATGAGATCTACAAGTTGCTGTATGCTAGACAAGAAATCATTTGCAGCAAAACTGTACCTTATTTTGCTCAACGAACCAGAGAGGAAGAGTTAACCAGCATGGCCTCCAGTGACCCTATAGCACGTGAACTCAATATAAATGCTGATCTCAATTCCAGCATCCGGTGCCCTGCTCAAGAGCCACAATAAACATGTGTGTTGAGGACTGGCAGAGAAAACTTAAGGGTTTACTTGAAAGTGAGAAAAAATAGAAAAGGGATTATTTGTTTGACTTGACCCAGTGGCACTAGTATCTTTGACACTAAATTAATTTGACTACTATTTACATTTTAATATCAGGATTTATGATTTACTCCCATGTCTGAATGTCCAGTATAAATTTCTGTTGAGATTAAATGTTTGATGGAACTAAACTACACCTTAATTGAACCTTTGACAATGTGGTTTAAACTGTGGGAATACTGCAAAGTTGTCACGTAAATCCACAGAAGGAAAGTTGAGGTTGAACCCAAGCAAGCCAGCTTTATTTTTTGGAGAACAATCAAGAAGCAACAGGAAACAACAAAGGCAAACTAAAAGTCCAACTAACAAAACAAGAGCACACAGACATGACATAAGATATATTTCGATATATTTCATTATAATCAGGGGGTGTTAATTGTGTTTTTCATTTAGCAAAATAATAATAATAATATAGTTATAAATAAATAAATGACTGTCTGTTCAGAATTGCCTATGTCGTTTTCACTTCTTTAGTTATCCCTTATAAGAATCATGCAATGCACATGATATTATACACTAACATTTATTTATTTATTTATTTCATTGCAGTCGAGTGTGCTGTCAAAAGGGCACGAGTCTTTTTTTTTTTAAATCTAACCGTACAGTGAAATGATTGGATGACTGGATTAAATGGGCGGGGTTTGTATGTTTGATGCCACGCGCCGTAATACTCTGTCAACCTACTTTGTTAGGTAGATGTCATCATGATTTCAATAATCCGCCGATATAGATGCAACAATTCTCTCTGTATGCTCATCTTTAATTCACGACATTTTAAGGTATGACTGTGGAGCGATCTGTGATATACATACACTATTTGACGCTTGATAATGACCTACATATGAACGCGGTGATATAAGAAGTGTTGTAGACCTACTATCTATCTATCTATCTATCTATCTATCTATCTATCTATCTATCTATCTATCTATCTATCTATCTATCTATCTATCTATCTATCTATCTATCTATCTATCTATCTATCTATCTATCTATCTATATTTAATGTCTGTCAAAAAATCATAAGAACTTTAATTAATTAGGGTTACTTTTTATTATCCATCTATTATCATCTATTATTTATCTACAGAATAATACTACCAACACTGGAGATTTTGTTGCCCCAGAACCTGATGTCATCATTGTAGGGGCCGGTGTTTTGGGCTCCTCATTGTCAGCGGTTCTTGGGCGAGATGGACGCAAGGTTACAGTGATCGAGAGGAATCTTAGAGAGCCGGACAGAATAGTGGGTGAATTGCTACAGCCAGGTGGATACTGTGCTCTCAAAAAATTAGGCTTGAAAAGTGAGTTAAAAAAAAAAAATCTGAGCACTGGCCACCAATTTTCATTGTAGTTATAATACTGATAATCATTATCTTTTCATAGAATCAGTAGAAGAGAAGGATGCACACATTGTGAATGGTTATATCATCCATGATGTTGAAAGTAAGATGGTTGTGGAGATACCTTACTCACAAGATCAGACTCAATGTGGCCGAGCTTTCCACCATGGTCGCTTTATCACGGGTCTGCGTAGAGCTGCACTGGCGGAGCCAAAGTGAGACCAACATATGCATCTTACATGTTTAAAATATGGCATATAATATTATACAAGTATTTTTAATAACATATGTACCTGGTGTTTGTCGAGTGTGAGGTTCATTGAAGGCACAGTAACATACCTTGAAGAAGAAAATGGCTGTGTCACAGGCATCCAGTACAAGGACAAACATTCTGGAAAAATAAAGGTTAGTGGGTAGCTTCAACATCATAACGAGTGAAAAAATCATGGTATAAACAGTAGGGATGATTATTGACTAAATTTGTACTTGTAGCCTAACCTCACAAACTTCTTTTGAGGATCGCTTTAACATTACAAAGTTGTTAAATACCAAAATATTTTCTGTATTTCATTTTTTGGAAAATTGTGAGTAGTTAATCTGAGTATGTGTTTTTTTTACAGAGGTTACGTGCCCCTCTAACAGTGGTGGCAGACGGATGTTTTTCAGAATTCAGAAAGCGTTTGGGCTCGGAAAGGGTTCAAACCTGTTCCAACTTTGTAGGCTGCATAATGAAGGTATGAGGTGCTCTGGTGTTAATGTCATGAACTGTTTTCTATTTCACAAGCATTAAATTGAAAGAAAACTCAGCTTATTTTAAATTTAAAATAAGGCATAACGCACTAGTTTTATTGCATTGGTTTGTCTCCTCAGAACTCTCCTCAGTTCAAGCCCAACTATGCTGAACTAGTTCTGAGCTGCCATGGACCGGTTCTGATCTACCAGATCTCCTCCAATGACACACGTGTTCTGGTGGAGATACAGGGACGTCTCCCCAAAAACCTGAGCCAATGCATGATTGAGAAGATCCATCCGCAACTGCCAGGTCAGAGAACTAATATTATTGTCAATAAGAGCGTATTTAAAGGGATAGTTCCCCCCAAAATGAAAATTCTGTCATCATTTACTCACCCTCAAGTTGTTCCAAACCTGCATGAATTTCTTTCTTCTGCTGAACACAAAAGAAGATATTTTGAAGAATGTCGGTAACCAAACAGTTGACGGACCATGCTTCCATAGTATGGAGAAAAAAAATACTATGGGAGTCAATGGGGTTCATCAACTGTTTGGTTACAGACATTATTCAAAATATCTGACAGAGATGACAGAATTTTCATTTTTGGGTGAACTATCCCTTTAAAACGATCAAACATTTGTTTCCAAAAACAAACGTTTCAGTCCACATACATGAGCTGACATAAAAATGTCATTGGGTTGATATGGATTATATATATTTTAGCTAATTTTCTTTGGTTTGTTGCGCCTGATAGATCACTTAAAGGGGCCGTTTTTGTTGGCCGTACAAAATAACCGTCTGAAATCCATGCCAGCGAGTTTTCTGCCATCATCACCTGTCAATAAACCAGGTAACAGCTCAATATAGATACAGCAAATGCTAGAGATGCAGCAGTGACAGTTTATCATTATAGTCTTCATTATAGTACATAGATTTAATTACAAAGAAGCTTTATTATTGTTTTTTATTTAAGTAGGCAGTGTAATTTGTTACCTATAATGTCATAAACTTATAAAGTGTAGACCGTTGCAACTGAATTAGATCTATATGAATTAGAAAATAGATCTATTTGTCCTCTTGACAGGAGTCTTGCTTCTTGGAGATGCTTATAACATGAGGCATCCTTTAACTGGCGGAGGGATGAGTGTAGCACTCAATGATGTCATGATTTGGAGAAGTCTGCTTCAGAACGTTCCGGATCTCAGTGACAACGCGGCCTTGTTGCAGGTTAAAAGTCTAGGGTTTTATTCAGATCAAGCAGAATTAAAAATATTGAAACATTTCATTAGTTCAAAAAAGATTTGCTCTCTCTGAATTCTCTCACAGTTAGTGTATTCTCAAATGATTCTACCCCGTCTATAGGCTAAAAAGAAATTCCACTGGGAGCGGAAGGTGTCTCATTCATTTGTGGTGGATGTTCTAGCACAGGCACTGCATGAGTTATTTGCATCAAAAGATGGTAAGCATATGCTTTTATCTTTCTGAATTATACAGTTGAAACAAGATCCTATTTCCAACATCTTGAATGGAAAACTTTCATATTTATGTTGCCACTAGAGGGAACTCTTCAACCATAAGCCAAACATTCATCTTCAAAGACTCGCCCCTTATGTAATTGATTGCTGTGCTGTACACCATAAACACTTGCTGATTATAAAAATATAGATCATCAAACCATTTTAATCACTGCAATCATAATTTAATATCTTATCATAACTTATCATAATTTGTCTCCTCCGTTTGCAGATTCAATATTATATCTTCGAAGAGCCTTCTTGTGTTATTTTCAGCTGGGAGGGGAGTGTGTCTCTGGGCCAGTTGGACTGCTGTCTGTGTAGGTCCAGACTTCATTACAATCAAACGAATAGCTATAAATGTACATAATTATTGTATGCATGCATACTATATCTAACATCTGTGTCAATCATCAGGCTGAACCCCCGCCCCTTGACACTGATTGGTCACTTCTTTGGTGTTGTATTGTACGCGGTCTACTTAAACATCAGGGCAGAGGTAAGACAGGACAGAGCAGGAGTGCTGCTGAGGAGCATGGGAATTCTTTATCGTGCATGTGCCATCATATTCCCTCATATCTTTTCTGAATTTAAATACATCTTTTATAGATTTTTTAGGCCTTTGCAATGAGTGTTAACTGATTGATATTTTGTATCATATCATCAGACAAAATAATAGTTATTATAAAGTCCCAGTTAAAAAACCCTTCACTAAAATTGATATGCGTTTCGGTATTTAGACTGAAAATATTTTATATATAATTATATGCATTTATATGCTTTTTACAGAATGTACATGTACTTAAAACTGTTAAATAAAGTTTATTTTAAAGTTGGTTTCCATGATGGTGCAAAAAAAGAGCAGATTGTGGCTTTAGTGACTGTATCATAAATACAGATCATTCTTTTAGATTACAATCTGTCTGCTGACAAATGGGTTTGGCTCAACTATGCTCACATTCAGAGAAAACTGAGTGTGAAAATGGATCCAATCAATCAAAATTATATCAAAAAACTTTTGAAGCCATTTCAGTTCCAGTGGTGGCATATTTACTGTGTTTGACCTTTGTCAAACATTGTCTATCCATTTTACAAAGCTCTCCAAGATTAAAGGTGCAAGCACATTGCTGAAATTTCAACAAAATTTCTTTCACTGTTCATTATCACTAATATAGTGTAGTGCACAGCTCACACAGAAGTCACTTTCAAACCATCAGCTTTCTGTTGGTCAACCTGGCAAATTCACACGACCAACTTGAACATGAGCGAAACCTGCATAGGCAACTCTTACACCCTCAAGCCAAACTCCCAATAGCATGGATTCCTATTGAAATCACTGTAAAAAAATGTTTTATTGTCAATAGTTTAGCAATGCACAAAGCACTGCTCACATGGAGGACATGTTCAAACCAACTAAACCAGCTTTCTGTTGGTTAACTCTGCAAATTCAAAATACCAATGGGCTATATGCACGCATAACTTCCGCGTTTGACGCAAGGATGCTCTTGCGTTTCCGGTTGGGGAGATTTAAAGAGGAGGAAAACCGAGGAAAATGGGATTATGGCAGAGTCTTCAAAATTTACTGTCCTCTCGTCTTTGAAACGAAACTTTAATACGTTTAGATGTAATTTTATATATAGTTATGTTTATTTAATATAATAAACAAAGAAGTATAAACAAAATGAGGGGTGTCTGTTTTTGTGACTAACGTTTCTTTAGTATAGCAATAGAGTATAAAAACCAATATAAATTCTCGGTATAGCATTGGACTCTACGATCGGCATCCTTCTAGTAATCTAGCATCCTTAGACCTTCACCGGAAATACCGCCGTGCATAGAGCCCATTGGATCCTGATGCAAAATCCACATTGGGAATTTTTCCATGCTTATGTGAAGATTTTCAGTCATGTGAATTGCTATTGAAACTGGATTTTGCAGGCAAAATGACACTGAGCAATGGTAAACGTTACCATAATTCTAGAATTGGTCAATTTAGCAAAATTAACAAAAAATTTGGCAGCAAAAAAAGGTTTATTGTCAAAAGTATAGCAATGCATGGAGCAACGCTCACTCAGGGCGTTCAAACCAAGCTTTCTGCTGGTCAACATGGCAATTTGTGAGACCATTTGGATCTTAATGCAAAATCTTCATAGGGAAATTTCTCACGCTTATGCAGAATTCTCCAACGCGTGAATTCCAATTGAAAATGTTTTTAAGCCACGGTAAACGTAACCGCACCTTTCATTTTTATTTCTCTCTTCTTAATACACACACACATATACACACAAAAACACCATTATTACATAGACTTTATTGTGATTAATACATTGATACATAATCTGTTAGGGATCTTTGAGGGGGATTAATGACATTTCTTTGAGCTTCCACATGGCCATCAAATACTGGAAGACCAGAAATGTGCAGGTGGCCCCAGAGGGGCGTCCCGAGTCCTTCAGCTCTACGATCTCACGGCATGCAGAGAGCATCAGACCTTCACAGCACTACGCCTGCTCTGACAACAGACGTGCACAGTCAGGTCAAATGTTTGGGCATGTTTTCAGCTGGCCACATCTCTGGGCTTAAACGTCCAAGTCATAATACTGCAAAAAGAGACATTTCCCCATCAATTTTCTGTGTGTCTCTGCAACTTGTGTCAATGTGCCTCTTTGTAATGTTGCAGTAACAGGCGTTCTCATCATCGCTGTCATCCATAAGCCCCGGAGACTGGCTCTGGTTGCACCAGTCATTTCATCACCCTCGAACGCCCAGGTCACCTTATATATGGTTCCCATGTTACCACCGACGAGATGAGCCAGTCTCAAGAGACCGGTTACCTGATGAAAACTCCCAGCCGACAACTCCACATTCACATTGGATTAGCGTTAATGTTGTGTGCATATAGAAATGTATTTATTGGGACAAATTTACAAGGAAAATGTACAACTGAGATTATACTTCAAGGACAGTAGCGCAAACCATATCACTGTCGCACATAACAGCAATATGGGAAGTAGTTATGTACACGGTACACTAATAAAGGTATAAATATATAATTGCTATATGTATTTATATATGTATATATATATTCCTTCAGATGCCCCACCCCCCCCGGAAAGGCTTCCTAAAACATGTTTCTCCTGGCGTAACTACAGCACTCCCAGACAGATCAAAGGACTTACAGGAAAGGGCACCACACGTTAATTTGCATGTTACACCACATTTTTACAGCAACACGGTACTGAATATTACATTAAGTAGTGGTGTTTGGTTATATAGAGCCTGTGTGAACGCACAGACAAGACATTTTAAAAACAGGGGATTTGAGGTTAGATATTAAAAGTGCTTGAAATAGATGCAATGCTACAGGTGATGACGGTAGTAGGACTTAAAACCCAATGTTTTATGACTCCTGGGAAAGTCTGGAGCTACATTTCTTTTGGAAACATTCTGGAACAGCCATTATCGCCCGTCCTTATCCTCAAGACTAGAGGACCTCAGGCAGCAAATGGGCAAAAATGTGTTCATGAAACTTTCGTTGGGACACCAACGAAGAAGAACCCACCCATGCAGACCATTTCCAGAAATTAAGTGCAATGTACACTGTTTATCTGCTGTGCCTCTATCAGGGCTTCTTAGGAGCCAAGTGGAGGGTGTACAATCAGTTATGGGGGTCTAGTGATGTGGCCTCGTTACTTTTGTACCGAGTCTGTGAGGTGGTGGTGGTGGGGGGGGGGGGTGTTATTCAAAGGACCATATTTCAATGTCTTGCACATAGAAGTCCTCCGTTTTCGAGAGCATTGGATTTCCAAAGGTCTTACATGAGTGAGTTCTGCCATGATAGAGGTCGCCATCCAACCACAGGCCAAATTCACCGCTAAAAGGAGAAAATGAAAATTACTTTAGACATTAAGTGAAGTCACTGATTAATGAAGTGTCTGGCATTGGCAACTTTTTCTCTTTACATACCCTCCACCACCAAAAGCTAAGGAATCCATATCTCCTTTGATGAAGAACATATTGTCACCAGTCCATTTGAAAACCTAGAAAGGTTCAAGTTACTTAGCAATGTTAACAGTCAAGGCAGGAACAGACAATATACAAAGACATACAATAAATATATACTGTATATATACACACACACACCTATATATATATATATATATATATACACACACACACACACACACACTTTAATATAAAAATACATTGTATTACTATTAATGCCTCTAATATACATTAATAAAACTATATATAACCTTCATCTAAGATCTACATCTACACTTAATCTATTCATGTATTCCCACCTCTAAGTCTGGACTGAAGCTGAAAACGAAGGTCTCTCCGGTGCCATAGAAGCCGTCACTGACTTTAAATGGCTCTGAAGCGAGAGCTCCAAACAGCTGTCAAAAATAAGAAAAAAATATTGTTTGAATATTTGATGAACTACATGCTGTGAAACCTATGATTTAGATAACTACATCTACAGATTTCCAAAAACAATTATGTAAAGCCATACACTTCAGCTAGAACCCATAAGCTCAAGCATACCTGTCCATCACTGTCCTTGATCACCATGAGAACCGGGGAGTCCTGGCTCTGCATGGTGCGATACAGGCTCTTGATGCTCATGCCGTGTTTGGACGTGCTGAACGCCAGGGACCAGGGATAGCCGATCGTCCTGGGTGGGAGGTGCTTGGCCAGCTTGGGATTGAGGTAAAAAGTCAGAAGTGAGTATAGAAAAGCCCCCAAAAGATCAGGACAGTGCAGAAAAGGCACCTGTGAAGTAACTTTAATGTAAAGGTTACTCAAAATAAGGGCCTCTGGGAGCCAATTATACAACTGAAATACCACAGGTAGACAATGAAAATGTCATGGAAGTCCCATGAGCACTATCCAAAGGATGAAGGAGTGGTTCCAATAGTGCATCAGAGTTGAATATGATGAGGTCAACATAGATATGGACCAAAATAAACTACAGCTTGCCTTCTCGATTTGATCGGGTTGCAGCAGGTCACTGGGCTCGGTCAGACTGGGCCTGAAAGATTCGGGTTCTGGGTCACTCTTCACCACGTGTTTGGAGTTCACCTCTTCCTTGGTTGTGATCTGATTAAAAGAAAGAAAAAAGGACTGATAAACAAAGTCCCATCATCTGCTTTCCCCAAAATTTCACAAATATTGTCTTACATTGAGAGAGCACAACTATGTGGAACTATGTGGTTAAGCCTTTATATTTATGGAATCTATCTATCTATCTATCTATCTATCTATCTATCTATCTATCTATCTATCTATCTATCTATCTATCTATCTATCTATCTATCTATCTATCTATCTGTACTGTAGGTAAATGGAATCATCAATATCAGATAGCATAATCTGAGCTATCTATAATGCTATATAAACAGTACTCTCAAAGTAAGAAAACACCTGCAAAAGTTTGAAATAGTATCATGTCCAGTCACAGAGGGTATAAACAGTACAGCTTAATAAAGGAGAAAGTCGCACTACAGGATGTGAGGAGTGAAGCTTACAGCGACACACATTTATCAGCCAAAAGAATCAGGCTTTAAATCTGCTAATGTGTGCTTCTACATCAGTACAAGCTAACTGATGTAGACAGAGGAAGATGGATGGATGGAGATTAGCGAGATTTGGCTGGCAGGAGAATGTTACAAAGGGTCTTACTTTGGGAAGGCTTATCTCTCAGGTTAAGGAATATAAAGAATAACTGTAGTTTAACACAGGGATAAAGGTTAGCAGGAAAACAGGGTAGTTCCCCAACCAACAGCAATGCAGACCAAGGCAAATATCCAAGGACCACATGACAATTTTCCATCCACAAACATCAGACTTGGAGCTGATATATGTTTTTTAGTATAGTTATAACAAAGTGTTCAATAAAGCCTCGCATTCTTGGATGTTTGCACTGTTTTCATGTTAGCAGGGAATAGAGTTAGTAAGACCTCTTCAACACACTTTCAGGAATGGTTTTTCCTTTAAAATCAACATGAAATGACACTCACAATCCATTTTACGTCAATCATACAAGCTTGACCACTTATTTAATTCTGGCTAATGTAATAACCATTTCCTACAACATTTACCTTCCAATAGTGACTACATAGTTAAAGGGATAGTTCACTGAAAAATGAAAACTGTCATCAATTACTCACCCTTGTGTCATTCCAAACCCATTAGACTTTCGCTCAAGCTTCAGAACACAAATGGTCAGGTTTATATGCTAATAAAATCCTAAATTAAATTGGTTCATCATATAAAGCAATCATGTCTCTTCTAAAGACTTGTATTAAACTGCTTGATTCATTTGGGTTTTTTACGATCTCTTTATGAACGTTTTTGAAGCTTTAGTGTTTTGGATGAATAGACTTTCAATGGAGGAACAGAAATCTGAGATTTCATTTAAAAAAAAACACCTTCATTTGTGTTCTGAAGCTGAACAAAAGTCTTATGGATTTGGAAAAACATGAGGGTGAGCAAATTATGACAGTTTTCATTTTTGGGTGAACTAACCCCATTTACCATTAACACAGCCTTGGTGACATCAGGGGGAAAAGGTGGCGCAAATTATTATTGTGATCTAAAAATAAATAATTGATATAATTTATAATATAATAGTAAATTATTGCATTTTGATTAAAGAGTACAGAAAAGCCATTGGAACAAGATGCAGTGACGAATCAGACACAGTACCAATTTATAAATAAAGAAAATTGGTTTTATTGTAATTTCATGTTGACTTTAATAGTGTGATGAATGCTGTCTGAAGAGTAAGTCAGAACAAGCACTGCAGTCAAATGCACCAACTTTGTGTTTGGATACTTGATCAAACCCTTCTGGAAGGGGCTCTGGGGGACAGCATGTGACTAATTACTATGAAACTTGATTTGCTTTATTTATTGCTTCCTCATTTTCAAGCCATCGAAAACCCATCCTGTCATCCAGATATCCAATTTCAGAAAATACTGCAGAAACTCTATCAGCCTTTAAATGTCATCTCATATAAAAACGGCTATATCTCAACTCAGGGCCAGTTTTATTATTCCACACTCCACATAAAGACCAGTGCAATCTGCTGATCAAGGGGAACAAATTCTGTAATACAGACAGTAATGCATTCTTATTTAGATCAAACATAAGAATAATCTTCTTTTATTCTATTTGTGAAAAATCTGATATTGGTAGATTCATACGTGATGATACTCTGACAGTAACTGTCAGTTCATGTTGTAGTTAATGTTCCTTGATCGGCAGACATGATGTGGCCTTTGTGATGGTTTGTGTGGAGTTGAGCGTGTGGCACCTGAAGACGTTTGCAGAGCGAGCGCAGGTCCTCACTCTTTAGAGCATCTATCCGCCGGTAATACTCAGTCACAGAAACTACCTAATGCACAGACAGAATAGTGGTGTTGCATGAGAAACAGCCCGACACCAAACAATTAGTATGTGAGGGAAGAGAAGTTACGTAACACACTTCTCTTCTTCTTAAACTGATCAATTGGAAATGGAGGAAGGGACATGTTAGTGAGAGATCAAAACATTTACTTTCTTTGCACAACCTAAATGAGAAATCCAAAACAAAAACTGCAATATATAACCACTAAATGACTGAGAAAAACACTTTAATTCCCTCTTGACCCATGTGTTTACGCAGACAGCTGCAGTCAGGTCTCATGTGCCGTGAATCAGTTTAATCTAACAGGATTCACCTGACGAGATCAAACAGCTCCATCTCAAAGACAGATCACACGTCTCCGAAAAGACATCTGCAATGTCCACAGACCAGCTGCTCATAAGTATGTCATGCCGCAAAGCAACATAAAACAGTGTTTTCAAAGCTGAAATATAGAATTTAACACTATGATATGGGTGTAACAAGAGGTGTGGCTATGGGTCAGTTGTCTGCATACATTTTTTCTTTGATACATTTACTATTTTGAAAGTATTATCCATTTATGAAGCCTATTTGCTCACATCTGCAATCCATTCCAGATATATCACATAATAAAATGTAAGCATATGCATATAATACCCAATGTAAATTCACTAACATAGGCTACAGCTGAAATTGTTTCAATAAAAAACACATCGCCCAGAACTCTTTGGTCCTCCAATAGATTTAAAGGAATAGTTCACTTAAATAAAAATTCTGTCATAATTTACTCACCCTCAAGTTGTTTCAAACCTGTATGAATTTCTTTCTTCTGCTGAACACAACCTTTTGAAGAATGTCAGTAATAATGTCAGTAACCTGACATTATTTTTTGTCCTATTGAAGTCAATGGGGTCCATCAACTGTCTGATTACCAGCATTCTTCAAAATATCTTCCATTGTGTTCAGCAAAAGAAATAAATGTATACAGGTTGAAATAACTTGAGGGTGAGTAAATGAAGATAGAATTTTCATTTTTAAGTGAACTATTCCTTTAATTTGCCCACCCTCATATAACCAATTCCCCTATCCCAGAATGATATCCTAGAAATGCCATTGGGTTTACTCCTACAAACAGAAAGCATGCTTTAGCATATATGCAATCTATGCATAGGCAACCAGGCTGCTCTTAACATGTTTTTGCAGCTTTAACCATAACAACAACCAAGTAGTTTTTTTTTTTTTAAAAGAGAAAAAAAGCTTTTCTCATGTAACTATAATAAGGAGCTCGTATTTCGATTTAAAATCGCCACCAATGAAAAATAACGTAATCGTGCGGTGCTGCACAAAGCAGAAAAAAGTCTGTCTGTTTACATCGTCACGCGTCATAAGAGCGTTGCGTTTTCAACACAAATGTCAACAAGGGAAAATAGACTTGCGTTCAAAGCAACTCGACGCAGTGCAACGGAAATCTGTGCGTTCAGTTTCATTTCGTTGCGATCCGATTAGTTGTTATAAACGTAACAACATAAAACTTTTAAAAGGCGACACTCGAAGGATACATTTTTCATGTGGAAAAAACTACCGACAATGCGGTTTGATTAATTTAACTATTTACAAATAGTTTTGCGGTAAACATATGGGACGAACGAAATATTAACGTAACGTTAGGATACTACATATTGCACGGAATGCAACTGCATAGTATAAGTATGCTAGGCAACTGCACAAAAGTGTCTGCACTGCAGACTTTACTGTCATGTTTAAATTACGTCAACTACTAAGCCCAGAAAGCTACAGCTGCTTGATACATAACCACACTCCATATGCATGTCAAGTGCACTTCAGCACAAGTCACTCATCCACACACAAACATTAGAACCACAGGGCTCGTTTTTTTTTTTACCAGGCCAAAGCTGTATTTGGGCGTCAGCTGACATCCCTCCTTAATTTTTCTGGAGAAAAACATCACTTCTCCTGAAAGCCCCAAGAAATGCAGGTGTATATCCAATATTTAGTATCCACGTGGACTCACTGAAGTACAGACACTTTTAGAAGTGAGCTAGAGGCTTTGTGCTGTTTATATCCCACAGGGACCAATAGGATGGCAGGGCAGCAGAAAAAACTCATGTGGCCTCCCCTCTGGCCAGCCCAGATAAGAGGCTGCACAGGGCTTGAGTCATATTTTATAAATAATAGCCAAATAGCTATCTGGAAGATATTATAAATAATATTGCATATTTATGTAGCCTAGAAAAATGGCTTGCTGAGAGCCGGAAAATTAAAATAAAAACAGGGCTTGATTATATATATATATATATATATATATATATATATATATATATATATATATATATATATATATATATATATATATATATTAAGTCAAATAGCTATCAGGAAATGCATTTTTATCCTAGCAAATATCCTCATGAGAGCCAGCAAAACAAAATAAATCAGTAAATGTTAAAGATAAGGTTTTGCTATCTGGATCATCACTATTGGGCAATTAACTATTGTTGTCTTTATCTTCTTCGTGGAGTTTTCACACTTATTATCTTGACTATAATGCATAATCCGCATTTATCAATCATGGTCTTGCTTACTGAAGTCTATAAGTGGTTTAAGAGGGATTATGAAATGATCGTGTCCATTTGCAGACAAACACTCAATACAGTAACAGCCAAGCCAAACACACATTACAACGAAAAGACATTACATACCAGTTCATCACATCCTTTGAAAGGAAAAGATGTCATTATGAAAATAAGACACTGCAACAAGATATTAAATAGACATTGACAATGACTGACAACAGAAACAAGCATGCATTCTTGTTATTATGTGCATAAACATGGTTGAAGTTGCTGAATAGGACACAAATAAATAAAAAGACACACATACACACACGGTCCAATGCTGCTGTGAATAACAGGCTCGTGTGTTCGGGAGAGAACATAAACATCACGTAAGCATATTCATGATCACATGTCTATGACAACACAACTGCAACAACAAAAATCAGCCTAATTGTTAAAGCCACACAATACACACATTTCAATTAAAAACACATGCATGAATTAACATCAGTATTAATATTTATGACAATAAAATAAATCACATTATAAATAATCAAAATTATAATATTTAAATATATTGCATGAATGCATAAAATACTTTCTAGGTTTTTAGTCATTAACTAGTAAAATTGACAATTAATAGATGATTAATCAATTATTTATTTATTTCTATGTATTATTACAGGTTAAGGCTTGTTATCTTACAGTAGTTGTTGTTCATACCTCCCAGTCCTTGAACGTGATATCAGGCACTGGTTTGTCGTGCTCCCCGCTTTCAGCATCCTGGTTCTTTTTAACCACTACAAACCCAGGCTCTCGGGTCACTCCGCCCAGCCCTTCACCGTACACATCAGGGGTCCACTGGACAAAGAACGCATACAGGTGGTCCGACCTACAGGAAACACACACAAAATAGGTATAGGGTTTATTCGGTGTTAAGATTTAACAAGATCTGTCCAGGTCTTTATTCACGTTGGCATCCTAATACTTTAAAATGAGATGTTTTCTAGTTGCCCATTAATAAAATTGTGCGCCAATGTCCATGACTGTTGTGGTGTGTTCACACACCGAACGCGAATAGAGCGTCAAATACGCGTCTATCGCGTCTAGTCAGACGCTTGAACATTCGCTCGAGTTCAAATTTTTCAACTTGCGCGGAAGACATTCGCAGCAAACACGTCGCCCAATTCGCGTCATTCGCAACGCCCGGCGCGAATGATGCGTCTATTCGCGTCTTTGCATTGTATGTAATCCACTCGCGCAAATAATTAAATTCGCGTTCGGTGTGAACACACCATTAGATGTGCTTTTTACTAAATGAAAAATTAAAGGAAGCCTATGGAGCTGAAATTCAGATATGGTAATAGGCTTTTAGTTTCCGACCCATGCTGCGAGCGTTAGACCAATCACAACAGACTGGGCCGTCTGACCAATCAGAGCAGAGTAGTCTAGCGGTAAGGAGGGGTTTAGAGAGACTGAATCTCGAACTAACCGTTTTCAGACTCTTTGAGAAGTAAGGTGATGTGCAATGTATATTATGAGAAAATTAAAGTGTTTTTTTTTATATTGGATGCATGTAAAGTAAACCTAGGAGACCTCCAAAACTAAATTAAAAACCATTTAAAATAGCCCAATAGGAGCACTTTAAACTCTCTACAGGATAGGATATTACTTTTTCTATTGTTTCTTATTTTAGAAAGTGTAGGAGCCTTGTGTAAAGCGCCATACATTATAATACAAATGTTTTGTTTAAACAACTTCAGGTCTATACTGACATCTAAATCAACCACAATGCATGGCTGTAGTCTGATATACCACTTTCCTAGATTGCTCTGTTCAATTTATAATGGTATATTTCAACAGCAACTTATAGGTGATTACGCCATGTTGACAGTGATGAAACCCTGTCCTGTAGTCCTGCTAGCAAATGGCACTGATGCTGAGAGATCATTTACATAGAACTGCAACCATGAACACACACATACAGACATGCACAAACTCAGACACACATATATAAGCCTACACACGATGACCTGGTCATGGAGAGATTTGGATGAGATCCATCCAGGCGACTCATGGGGTCATGTGGCAAAGCTTACAGCCTATGAGAAGTACGCATGCAAGTATGTGTTTTTCCAGCTAACATGGCTAACGTTCACTTTGCAGTTCAGAAATGATAAAATGGACCATTGTCATATCTCAAATGGATCATAAGACTGGCAACCAAACTGGGTCAGACAACAGTAGAGCAGTTATTTGTGCTGTCCCTTCCATAGCCACATCTCTGATACTTAATGAGACATCTTATCCATGGATGCCACCCTGGCACGAACGCAGACTCAGTTTGTGTGAGTTTAATAGGTCAAGATGGAGGTCGTAAACCATGTGTGATTTATAGAACTCTCAAATACAAAGTTAAATCATAAAGACCAAGCATGCAAAACTTAAGTTACATAAACACCACAGGTCAAATGAGCAGAAATGTCAGAAGAATAAACAAAGTCAAACAGACACAGGGTGAAATTACGCTTTTTCACACATCACAGAAAGCAAACGTTATGCAGTACAAAGCAATTTTTCAAACGTCATATTCAATTTTCTTTTATGATCAAAAATATGGCATCACATTAGAGACTCTCATCTGTTCGAGATGATGTAGTTTTAGCTAATTATATTGATTTATTGCTCCAGGAAAAACCTTGATCCATGCATAATTCAGTTTGGAGATGAAAACACACATATGCAGCATGCAAATCTCTCTTAATTCTGTTTGACTGTGGCTGAATGGCTGTATTATACAGAAGTAACAGATTCTGTGATGGATTACACAAGGCTTTGCTTTTGAACATTCAGATTAGTAGGTCAGGTAATTAGCCTCAGTCATTTCTAGTGTCACCAGATAGATCTCATTCCCAGAAATACTAAAGTACTGACATAGGGTAAACTAGAAGATTCATGTAGTTAGATTCTTAATGATAAGCACAAGCTATCCCTCATGTCATGTCATGGTAGACATATTATTCTTTTATTTTTTGTATAAAAGAGCTGCTGTGCAAACACTCCCTGCCCAGGTCACCAAGACCATTTATTGAAACCCTCGCTTATTGTTTTGACATCACATGTATGAAGTTTAGCCATTATTTAAAGAGGTTTCAAGGAGGACTTACAAGTAAAGCAGCAAAAACAATCCATTTAGGAACAAAAAAATTGTGCATGAAAATACACTAATATAATTGGACTTCAAAAGTTTGGGGTTGTTAAGATTGTCAATATTTTTTTAACGAACTCTCTTATGTTCACCAGGGCTGCATTTATTTGATCAAAAACGTATTATTGCGTGACGTATTATTACAATTTAAAACTCAATTCTTCAGTGTCACATGATCCTTCAGAAATCCTTCTAATATGCTGATTTGGTGCTTTTTTAAAACATTTTCATTATTATCAATGTTTGAAAACTGTCACCTTTATTTCTAGCACTTAAAAAAAAAAAAAAAATTTGTTTCAAAACAGCTTTGCAGTAATAGACAGTAATTCATTACTTTATGTATTCATACTTCAATGAGCTTATTTTTTTCTGCCTTAAATAAACACATTGTTTAAATTAATACATTATTAGCAAACTGCATGATTTGCATGTACATTTCTGAAAACCATAACTTGGACACAGTCACCTCTGATAGCAGATCACTCTAAATTATAATGTAGACATGCATTTTCTGTAAAGCTGCTTTAAAACAATATGTATTGTGAAAGGCGCTATACAAATAAATGTAAATTGAATTGAAAATAATAATTCAATGATGCAAAAAGAATTAAATTCTGCAGTAAAGCAGCTCTAAAAAGACAATAGTACAGTCGTGATTCAACTGAAATCAGATCAGTGTTGATTCAGTTCCGTTCAATAACTGTGTAAAGATCATCAAACATGAAATGAATTCAATTCAGTTATAAAACAGTTCTGCAGAAAACAGTGGTGTCATCATCATCCAGCTCAGTTCAGTTCTCATCCAATACTGTAATATTATACTGTAATAATATCCAATACAATAATATTGCTGAATACTAAGTGTCCCCAACTAAGCAAGCCAGAGGTGACAGTGGCAAGGAACCCAAACTCCATTAGGTGACAGAAATGGAGAACAAAACCTTGGGAGAAACCAGGCTCAGTCGGGGACAGGGGCGGAGCTACAGGTTGGCCGAATGATTGTGATTTCGCTTAGTTAGTGATGTAGCTTTATAGTGGACTCTCTCCATGTTTTAAAAAAACATACTACACCTGAGTCTGGAGCAGTAAATCAGTAAACAATTCCATTTTAGCAGAACAGGAAGGTGACATTTAAAGTGGAGTGCGGCCAAACTGGGAATAGCACTGACCTCTCAGAAGGAACAGCGAACCAGTACTCGTGCTTCCTGTCTCTTTGGGCGTACTGCAGCATGGAGGCACTGGCGTGGGAAACAAAGGTCTTCCGCATGGCTCTGCCAACACGCAGGCACAGGAACTTGTGCGACTTGGACTTCTCCTTGCCTTTGGGCAACGGCACAACTGGGACAGGAAACAAACAGCACAACTGCACCTGTTTTTCATATTCATCTCAGCGTGTAAAACTAAAACATGAATCTTGCATCCCATTTTTATTCATCTATATTGTAGCATATTTATGCACGCTGGATGCAACATATGCTAAATAAGCTGTCATGTTGAGTGAGCTGATGTTATTAATGTGCTGGAGAAAAAATAAATAAATGGAGCAAATTAAATCTGTGGATCTCCTGAACCTAACTGAAAATGTATCTTTCAGCATATTTTTTAGGGCCACATCCTCATTAGACTGCAGCAGTGATACAGCAGGATCAAATGGAGGCTGACACTTCAATATATTTGTAAGTTATGTTATGTTATCAAGGATTGGATATCTTTTATACAAGCAATACCCTTGGGGAAAGAGAGCGTGAGCTACAATAAGAAATAAGCTTAAAGTCAACATAAAACATTGCAACCCATTTTACTTGCATTTTTTATGTTCGAAGGTCAAGGTAAAACAAAGAAAAGTAAGAAGGGACCTTTTTTTATCCCTTTCTGAAACACCACTGGCACCCATTTTTGAGGAGTTTTTCTCCATCAATAGCATCTTGATATTTCCCACTACTTTTTTAGAATTATCGCTACTTGCTATTTTTGCTGTAGCTTTTAGAGATGCACTGAAACTCCGATGTCAATTATTTTTTCATGTTATGGTTATATATATATATATATATATATATATACACACACTCACCCTAAAGGATTATTAGGAACACCATACAAATACTGTGTTTCACCCCCTTTCGCCTTCAGAACTGCCTTAATTCTACGTGGCACTGATTCAACAAGGTGCTGAAAGCATTCTTTAGAAATGTTGGCCCATATTGATAGGATAGCATCTTTCAGTTGATGGAGATTTGTGGGATGCACATCCAGGGCACGAAGCTCCCGTTCCACCACATCCCAAAGATGCTCTATTGGGTTGAGATCTGGTGACTGTGGGGGCCATTTTAGTACAGTGAACTCATTGTCATGTTCAAGAAACCAATTTGAAATGATTCGAGCTTTGTGACATGGTGCATTATCCTGCTGGAAGTAGCCATCAGAGGATGGGTACATGGTGGCCATAAAGGGATGGACATGGTCAGAAACAATGCTCAGGTAGGCCGTGGCATTTAAATGATGCCCAATTGGCACTAAGAGGCCTAAAGTGTGCCAAGAAAACATCCCCCACACCATTACACCACCACCACCATCCTGCACAGTGGTAACAAGGCATGATGGATCCATGTTCTCATTCTGTTTACGCCAAATTCTGACTCTACCATCTGAATGTCTCAACAGAAATCGAGACTCATCAGACCAGGCAACATTTTTCCAGTCTTCAACTGTCCAATTTTGGTGAGCTCTTGCAAATTGTAGCCTCTTTTTCCTATTTGTAGTGGAGATGAGTGGTACCCGCTGGGGTCTTCTGCTGTTGTAGCCCATCCGCCTCAAGGTTGTGCGTGTTGTGGCTTCACAAATGCTTTGCTGCATACCTCAGTTGTAACGAGTGGTTATTTCAGTCAAAGTTGCTCTTCTATCAGCTTGAATCAGTCGGCCCATTCTCCTCTGACCTCTAGCATCAACAAGGCATTTTCGCCCACAGGACTGCCGCATACTGGATGTTTTTCCGTTTTCACACCATTCTTTGAAAACCCTAGAAATGGTTGTGCGTGAAAATCCTAGTAACTGAGCAGATTGTGAAATACTCAGACCGGCCCGTCTGGCACCAACAACCATGCCACGCTCAAAATTGCTTAAATCACCTTTCTTTCCCATTCTGACATTCAGTTTGGAGTTCAGGAGATTGTCTTGACCAGGACCACACCCCTAAGCAACTGCCATGTGATTGGTTGATTAGATAATTGCATTAATGAGAAATTGAACAGGTGTTCCTAATAATCCTTTAGGTGAGTGTATATATATATAAAACCATACTTTGCTACATGTTTAATATCTGCCACAAATCAATAAAAACATAAGAATAAATATACTTTGTTTAATATACACATTTCACTATATATAGAATGTATTTTAATGACAGAATATAAAGAATGATTTTTCTGGGTGGGAACATCGTGAACTGCTGAATCAGGTACAAATAAGATCATGTAATGGTGTCAGATTTGATTTCATGTTGACTTTAACACGTGTGCTAATAGTAGGTTACCTTCTGTACTCTGTCCTTCATCTGCTTCAAGCTCAATAGCTGGTGTGAAATCATTGGACATCTTTTGTTCTCCTTCCTTCATATCACTGGTCGATTGCATAGTCTGTGCTTCCACGCTCTTCTGTGACTCATGGGCTTTTGCAAAATCCTCAACAGCCACAGTGTCCGAACAAAGCGACTCAGATGTGGTGCGTGACTTGGCCTCGTCTGCAGGTTGGTCCCTCATTACATTCTCCAGAACGTTCTCAGACAGCACCTCATTGGATAAACCTGTGGCATTCAGACTCTGCTTAATGCCACTATCCCTCCATCCTCTTCCCTCCGTTCCTGTATTTTGTACAGCTTCTTTTACATCCTTTTTGTCAGCCATTGAAGGTTCTTCAGTGGTTGTGGCGGCCTGGTTGATGGTTTGCACAGATTCAGAAGACGCACCAGAGGACTTTATCTGCTGCAGCTCGTCGGAAGATGTTGCAAGGGGATCATCACGGACTGGAGAAAGTTCTGACTCGGTAAAAACGTCTTCAGATAGAGAAGCTTCAGTGCTGCGAGGGGCCGTACTGGTACTGTCGTTGCCCGTCTCGCGGATTCGGTGTGCCGCATCGCCTGTATTGAGACGTGGTGCCCTCTTGAGATGGCTTACCTCAGGTATTGAAGGCTCAAGCTCTAGATCTCTGCATTGACAAAAACAAAAAAAACATGACACATTGCTACATGACTTGCATTTTCCCCGCTAATGTGATCAAAGTGGTTGTTATCATGTTGCTATGCAGTTGCTAGAGTAATCTAGGGGGTTGCTAGGGTGTTGTCTGACCATATAGGAGCAATCATCATGTCTGTAGCAAAAATTATGTGCAGTAAGTGTCGCTTAAGTAACTTACGGTGGCACGAGCTCTCGGACCCTGATGTCGGTGATCTCCCGGCACATGGCTGCGGACTGCACCTCCTCCAGCGGGCACATGATCCCGTACTCCTCACATCCTCGCTCCTGCACCAGATGGTCCGACTTATGAGGGTCAAACATGACGTTGTTCGGAGTTACCAGAAGCACACCACTAACTATACCCTAAAAGATTGAGAACAGAGGAGAGAGATGCCAATGAAAAATCAGTAGACCATACACAACTCTTTTACATGTCCAGACATGATCATCACAGTAAAGATCAGTTCATATTGTTATTGTATAATGATTATTCTGGCCACAAACCATCCACTTAGACAGGAAGAGATCAACAGAAAATGCAACCAATGTTTTAGATTTGGTTTTCATGTACTGTTTAGGGGTAAATCTGAAATCAGTGATACCACAATAATAGGTCAGCATGGAAAATATAGCCTATACGAGTGATTGCTCAGAAAATACTGTAAAAATTTGCGAAAATGTTTGTAGACTTCGTGATCATAATTTCTGTCCGTCCAAAAGTAACAAGTACCATATATTTCACAGACATAATCAAAGTGGAATATTTATTTATTTATTTGGCAATATTATTCATTTTAATACATTTTTAAATTTGCAGTACACAATGCCAAGTACACATGCTAGAGCAAAAACTTTTTTTTTTTATAAATAAAATGTATTTTAATGTATATATGTATATACTTAGTAAGTATATACATATATACATTAAAATACATTTTATTTATAAAAAAAAATAAATGTAAAAAAATAGATTAAAAATATATTTGAAAATCTTACCTAACTTTTGAACAGTAGTGTGTATCTTCAGGAAAAACATAAATAAATACGAATGTATGTATGTGTATGTATATATATTTTTTCTGAACATTACATACACATACATACATTCGTATTTATTTATGTTTTTCCTGAAGATACACACTACTGTTCAAAAGTTAGGTAAGATTTTCAAATATATATTTTTTTTACATTTCTTCTCTTTATCAATGGTGAAAACAGTTGTGCTGCTTAATATTTTTGTGGAAACCCTGACACATTTCTTGTTCAGGATTCTTTGATGAATATGAACAGCGTTTGAAATTTAAATCTTTTGTAACAATGTTAAAGTCTTTACAGTCTCTTTTGATCAATGTAATGCATCCGTGCAAATTTCATTTCAATTGGGTATTAAGTTCTCAAATTTAAAATAAATAATTCTTACTGTCTCTATGTGTATATATTGTGTATATACTGTGTATATATTTCTAATACGTACCTCTAACAAACAAATGTGGCAAATTTGGGTAAATCCAGTGACTAGTAACAATCTGTGCGCCTGACAAAGTGACAAATCTGTACACAGAAATCACTCACCTTGCCATCTGTGATGTATTTGCAGTTCATTTTCAGGAACTTTTCCGTAAGAGCCTCTTCTTCCTCGGAGGTGGATGACACCACTCTGGCTGGTCGAGGGGGCCCGTGACAAGTGCTGTGTCTCCGGTGGACATCATCTGAGTCCTGGTGGGATGAAGATGGTGTGAGAAACAGCTCAATCAATGGTAGCCCTCGCCACATCACACTGAATGTGGCCCAACCTTGAGCTCAAGGTACGTCCTCTAACACCCACACCCACATATAAACACACACACACACACACACACACACACACACACACACACACACACACACACACACACACACACACACACACACACACACACACACACACACACACAGTCATCATAACAAGGAGGCTTGGAAATAACAACCCATTAAGGCATAAGGTAGATCCCTTGAGGGCTCTCTGCTATAAGAAGGCTGACAGGCGGAAACCAAGGAGACTGAGGCAGGTTTCTTAACATGATGCTGGACCGGTTGAGTGACTGTCAGCATCTTTGTGTGTTTGTATCTCATTATAGGACAAGAAAAAGAAAAGCCACTGCTCACTTGGTGCTGGCACAATAATACAGATCTGATGATTATAAAAAGTTACTTTTAGCTTTACAAAATTTCACATGCATTTCAGCAGAATCCTGAGCTGATAATACGGAACACTTGTTTGACTCCTCGCTCAATATATTTCAACTTCTCACACACACTGCAACCTCTTATACTTGACAAACAAACATCACTTGCTCATTCAACACTAATAAAAGAAAACCAGGTTGTTTACTGGAGTTCACAACCAAGCAAGTGATGCACACAGAAACTGAATTTTTATTTAAGAAGTCTACTAACTGCATATATAAAAATAAATTTGGCCCTTAACAGTAAACATAACCAGCAAATAATGCTCAAATGTAAAACTGCAACTGATAGGCCATGATAGCCCAACACATGAATATTACATGTGTACAGACTGTAGACAAGTATATAAATGTATGGCTGCTGTGACTGACTGCACAGTTTAGATGCACTCCACTGTGTATGAATAATCAGCATGAAGAAATGCAAAAGCCAGAACAGAGTAACATGAATATTGCATGAATTCATGTGTTTTCATGTAATGTAACAGTCAATTCTCCAGGCTATTAAAATTACAGGGATATGCATGCGCATTCTTATTCGTGAGATGCATGTTGATACCTGAATACATTTGAAGTTAGAATAAGCGTGTGCATGTGCTTGCTTTATCCATTGATGACTCATGAGGAAATGCAATCATGTACCCCTGAATCTCTGGCACTGGGCAGCAGGACCAGTAAATCCATGACCATATGGAGCCGGAACTACACACAGAGTCACACACTAATCCAACAGAGGTGACACAATCCATTTGGCAACCTCAAAAATGGCAGTCCAGGACATAAATTTGACTCTTAAACCACACGAGGACAGATGAGAGCTTAAAAGTAGCCATGGTGATCTTTCCAAGATATCTTCCTTCTTATGTGTCATCCAGTATCACCAACTAGGGACAAACATAGCTGGGGGGGAATGCAGTTTGTCTGAATACAACAATTACTGGAATCTCTGGCTTCATAGAGGAATAACAGCTGTACCCAAAAGGGAAATTCATCGCCACCCCCTTGTGGACACAAAACTATCTGAGCCTGAGATTAAAGAAATAATCCACCCAAACTCAACATCATGATGTTTGTATTGTAACATGCATGATATATTTTATGGAATATCTTTTAAGAACTTGCTGGTTATTTTTTTTCATAGATTTATAATTGATGGGAATGGAGTTTCAAACACACAAGCATAAAGTATTACGCATAAGTCGTGCATTATACAGTAGAATTTTTAAAGGGGCGGCAAAAAAGAAGTAAAAAAAAAAGTCTAACAACTAAAATGAACAGAAATACATATATGAAAGCGGGGCTTTAAAATGTCTGAAGCATGTAAAGGAGTTTGGCCACTGATTTGGATCTCTTGTCCAATTTAATTTGACACGCTTAGCTACTACAAATTAAAAAGCTGGTTGAAATAAATGGAAAATAATTGAATTGATGTAAAAATGCAAGCTATGCAAAATGATAGTCCATGGCACTTCTATTTCACTTTACATGGTCTATTGCATAAATGTAGACATATAGCATTAGTGTGTAATGATCCAAGCAGTTTCACTTAATAACTTTCTGTTTTTTTAGCTGAGTAAGTCTTCATATTATACTGAATGGCCCTTAATGAAACTCAACTTATTACATGGATTATTGAATTTCCCATCCCCATTCCAAATCATGGAAAAATATGCTTATACACCACAATGAGCTAAAAGATCTTTATACTTCAATCACAATAGAAAGGTACATAAAACAATGCATGCTCAAGGGTCAAAAAGCATATGCAGAGAACAATATAAAAAGCGATTCTTCTTGCTTGAGTAGTTGTGAGAACTGATCAGACCTTGGCAAGCAAAATCATTTATTCATATATTAAAACAATGATAAAAGACGTGTATAAGCCTGTCCTCTGGCTATGCGATCCCCCTGAAAGGTGTGGATGAAGATTGAGGTTGCACTCACTGTGGTGGCCTTCTCGAGATCAGCCTCTGAAGAGGTGAGGGAGAGGGGGCTGATGGGACTGAGGGAGGGAGAGCTTTCTGCACTGGAGATGTATTCCGGGTCAGGGACATACAGCACCTGAAGAGCAAGACACACTCAGAATTTAGATTTATATCATCTCACATGCAAACAGCAATGGCATTTAGCCAAGTAAAATGAATTAAACAAGCAGACAGCTAGCTTGATCTCCAACAAAACCAAATGAGCATGAATTACCATTCAAAACTCAGCAAAGAAGCGGTTTACTGAACAAATAGAATGTATATTCTTCTACAAAAGCCGCAGTTCTTTTTTTCCAGGACATTTCCCCCGTTTTAAATAGTTCCAGACAGTTCTTACCCTGAGGATCACGATATCTCTGCTCATTAAAGGTGCAGTGTGTAACATTTTTGAGTATTTATTAACAGAAATGCAATATGACATCCATAACTATGTGTTCAGTGGTGTATAAAGAACTTACTTAACAAACCGTAATGTTTTTATTACCTTAGAATGAGGCATTTATATCTACATAGGCGCGGGAATCCCCTTCTATGAAGGTCGCCATATTGTGACGACATATTTCTACAGTACCCGAACGCGAACAAACAGCGTTATGCTACGTTCACACCGGACGCGAATAGCGCGTCAGGCGCGAGTGATTTCAATGTTAAGTCAATGCAAAGACGCGTTACGCGCGTTAAAAATTCCTGCGGCGCGAATGAGGCGTAGAGCGCGGCGCGGTAGACGCGAATACGGGCCGTTACATAGTCAACGCGAGCAACGCGAGCAAGCAACGCGAGCGACGCGAGCTACGCGCTCCTTTTCATAGTACACAAGCGTCACCGGCGATGCGTGAAATGCAATACACCGATCGCGCAGCAGGGGGTAGTAGAGTCTAGAGTCGGGTCACGTAATATTCAGATCAAAATGGCAACTGAAGAGGAGTGCATATTGCTGATTTTACATCGGCTGCAACAAAGGATGTATACGAACAAGCTCGCATAACTTTTCCTCTTCGCCCGCCATTGTATTCAAATCTTCTTCTTCTGTAAACATAATAATATACCTTTTTATGTACATTACTTGCAATGTCGCCCCCACCGACAACGCATAGTATTGCGTGCATCGGCGCGTCGCGTATCAAAAACTAGGATGACACATTTGGCTACGCATCGACGCATAATGGCGGCCGAAGCGTAGCGATGTGTAGCCTTGCGCACGCGTATGCGTACCGATGCGTTGACTATGTAAGGGCCCTACGCCTCATTCGCGCGTCAAGTTCGCGCGAATGGCGCGAATTGAGCGTCTGGCGCGTTACGCGCGAATGGTGCATTTTGTGCATTCACGCGTTTGACGCGAATTCGCGTCTGCCGCCCGAGTTGAAAAATTTGAACTTCTGCGTCAATTCGCGCCGCGTTAACCAATCAGGAGCCTAGCTGCTTGCTGCTGTCACGTGGTGAAGTAGGATGCTTCAATAAATTATTTTGTAATTTGACGGTGGTTCTAATGTAGTTCTAATGCACAACAAAGCAAATATTTTATCACATAAAACTTGATTTCAATATAGGCCTATGAGACATATTCATTTTGTATTGAATGCTATTTATTCCATATCTAGAGTAGGCCTATATGAAATATTATTATAATGTAAAGACAACCAACATTCGTGTCTGGACAGTGATGTGTGTGAGAGAGAAAAAAATCACAGGACAGATTAATCACTTTTGGAGGCTGGCTCCATTTATCATCAAAACAAAAATAAATGACAGATTAGGTGGATGAGGGCGAGGGTGATCCTCGCTCCGATGCGGGACAATAGGTCATCAAGCTGGGCGCGGGACAGGCGGAAGTACCGCTGACAGCGGCCGTCATCCAGGCGCAGCTCCTGGAGCGAGCAAATGGTGAAACTCGCCACACTGGGTTCGCCTTTGAAGGGTCTGGTGGACACAAATACGGCGACGATGACCCCTACGCCGCCGTTCTGCTCTCGTATTCAGAATATATGCTATTCAGAGCAAATACAGAGCGGTGACTCTCTCGATGAATGCTCGATCAACATAAAAAAAGATGGCCGCCAACGGGTTTCGATTCAGACGCGCGTCAATTTCGCTTCAAAGTTTTGTTTTTTACGCGCGTCAATTTCGCTCTTGACGCGCGAATGGATTCAAAGTGGTCAAGCGTATAACTAGACGCGGTAGGCGCGAATTTGACGCGCTATTCGCGTCCGGTGTGAACGTAGCATCACGGTACTGATCCACTTGTCCGTGCGGCACTTCAGTCGCGTCGCACTCCACTTTATTCCTATGGGTGACGTCACGCGACTTTAACGCGCCCGCAAAGCTATGGAAAGCCGTTAGGGCCAAAAACACGCGAATTTTAACGCGTATTTCACGCGTATTTCACGCGTAAAATACGTGTATTTTACGCGTGAAATACGCGTTGATTATGTCACGCGTATTTCACGTGTAAAATACACGTAAAATACGCGTGAAATACGCGTGACATAATCAACGCGTATTTCACGTGTAAAATACGCGTATTTCACGTGTATTTTACACGTAAAATACGCGTGAAATACGCGTTAAAAATCAGTATGAACGGGTCCGTGTCATTGGCTGCTGAAGACTTGGGTCTAACCATTTGTGTGAGCTTAGAGGGGTGTACCTTTCATAGACTAGGCTACCACCAGTTTACATTCTATAGATCAGCTTATTCAGGTTTTTTGTATAACCTATATGAATAATATATTTAAATAGCAGTTTTATGACAATTAATTTTTTTTATGACAATTAATTTTATGACAATTTAGATAAAAATAAAATTAACTTGTTTTTCTCCACTCATGCCTTTTTGTAAATAAACACATTAGTGGACATTCTAGCTTTAACATCAAAGCATTAACGTGTGTGGGGAAATCAGTTACAGTGGAGGTAACCAATGCAGGTTTATGATCACTGCAGGTTTAAGATACAGACCACTGTAATCAATATCTGTCTTTGGAAAACAACGTGAGCTTTTGTTGTGCTTACATTTACAGCTATAGCAAGCAGGGGGCGCTTTTTCAAACCTTTTTGTTCTGAAATTGGGCACTCAGACAAACTGTAATTAGGTATACAGGTGATATTATCAATTTAAAGGAATTTAATGACTTAAAGTATTTAAATATGTTATTTAAGGCTTTCAGGATTAGAATGAGAGCTTGTGCTCAGGTCAGGACAGGTATAAGAACTTGATTTGGCTTTCCTGACAGCAGAAGTATTTTACTGCTACCAAAATTAAATATCCTCCTATTTCTTTTTTTCTTTTTCGTCGTTTTCTTGTGTAGCCCAAAGAAAATAGATAGATTGCATTTTTATGAACAAATATTTTTACCAAGATTGCCCCCTTTTGCATATTAGTACATTTACATATTATTATTATTATTATAACAGGGACAATGGACAGTAAAGAACTGTCCCAGAATTAGCTACAGAGCTAAATTTCATCTGCAGTCCCTGGCATTTGGCAGATGCTTTTATCCTAAGTGCCTTACATTGCATTTCAATGTACACATTTACGTTCTTATCAGTTCTTGCTTTCCCTGGGAATCGAACCCTTGCATGAATTTTGCAAGCGCTAACATTCTACTGTTTGAGCTACAGGAAAAGTAGGAATTTATCTGTAAAACAAATCAACCCAACTCAAGATTTCTAATATTAAAAGTTAACATTTGATTGTGGAAAAGTTTACAGCTGTGGTTCTTGATCAATGCAATTGTAATGAATATCTGTTAAAACAACATAACCTTGCTTGCAGGGACCAAATTACAGAAACGTCCTATCTTAAAGGTATTGTTCACTCAATTTAAAATTCTGTCTTCATTAACTCACCCTCATGTTGTTTCAAACATGCATGAGCCTCTTTGAATGTTTGGTTACTAATATTTGAAGATTATTGTTAACCAAACATTGCTGGTCCCCATTGACTTCCATAATATTTTTTTCCATAGTATGGAAGTTCCACACAAGAAAGAAACTTTGGAACAACATAAGGGTGTAAATGGGTGAACTATACCTTTAAGCCCCAAGTTATAATCTGACAAGTTCAGTGTTTTAAATTGGTTCCAAAATGAAATCACAGTGGTTACTTAAGACAAGATATTACTCTGACTGAAGTTGTTTCTGCAATACAGCCTCAGGAAACCATTCCAGGTCATAATTTCAAGTCCTCCCTCAGTGTCATATATTATTAACTAATATTCAGGGCAATTTGTACTTACCTCAGACTTGTCAGCAGCTTAATATCCTTTTATCTTAGCTCCATATCCTTTATATCTTTAAACATACAATGCTTTAATAGTACAATAATACAAATGCAATAAATTAAACTGTGCAATACTCAAATCTATATTTTCTACTGTTTAGTTTCATAAGTAGAGTATATGTACAAGTAATCTTAATTTTTAAGATTTCACATACGCTTTTATTTCTTTTCTTAAATGTGAGCAATGGTGACATGACCAAATTTAAACCTGGGATCAATAAATTATATCTATTATGCAATTTATTTTCCACATTCACAGTGTCATTACATGGACATTTATCAACTTTATCATAGAAGGCTTTAATAAAATAAAGCTAACAGACATAGGCGTCGATTTCGGGGATGCGGTGATTTCGTACCACCAGATTTCGTCATGAGTCATTTTGCACCCACCACTTTTAACTCCCGTCCATATTAATTTGACTTTTGGTTCGATTTTTTGGACCGTTTTCAGTGGTTATGAGGAGCAATATGAGAGAGAAATTTGGCAATCATTGTCTGACCCAGCAAAAAAAAAAACACTATAATACATTTTTTATTGATTTTTCTGTTCGCATTTATGAGGGAAAAAACAACGTGTCAGTTCTCGTTTACGGACGTGAGCGTTCTGAAAGCGGCACTAAAAGACTTCTTTAAAACTTTCACAGAGACCTCAAACAGAACAGCTGCCTTTCTTTACATTTATTTTCGTTTTATATTAATTATATCTTAATTTTAATCAATGTTTCATGAACCAATTGTCTGGATTTATTTAATAAATAAGAAGTAAATATAGCAGAATCACGACATGGAGGCGCCGGCGAGTGAATTGGAGTTCGTCTCATAAATTAACCGAAACTCGGCGTATAATGCACATTCACATTCACAGCGTATTAGACGCATTTATTATCATTACTTTTACCGGTTCTTTGTGGCAAGCTTTATGCGTGCGGTCGTGTGCTTGAGCACAAATTATGAGCTTTTGGCAATTTTTTTTTTATAATTATTGACAAAATTAGAATATAGTAAAAGGATTTTTTTGTGTGTGTGAAAGTTTTGGGTGGGCCTGTTGAAAAGTGGGGCCGTGCCTGAGCTACAGGACATCGTCTTTGAAAACATAACCTGCCCGAAAGAGAGAAAAAAAATTAATACGTCATTGTACCCAGCACTTCTGAAAATGCACTGAAAATGCACTTCCGAATGCGTCTCTGTCCCCAGCACATTTCAAACCAAACTGACGCCCATGATAACAAAGATAGATTTACAGGTGACACTGCAATGACTACCCTTTTAAATTGCTAATTTAACCCTTTACACTTTTTTTTTTTTTTACATCAGCAGGGTTCACTTGGAATGCTCCGAATGCAATGGGCAAACACGGTCCTCAAGGGTCAATGCCCTCTGCCCTGCAGAGTTCAGCTTCATTTCATTTTTTCTAAATGTAATAAATTTTCAGTGAAATCAATTCTGATTTAAAATAGTAATATGTTAACAAACTAACCCACAGTACCTTTTATCATGCAGATGATTTGTATGAATTTATGATCACAAGCTTGGATGTGTTCTGTCAGCTTGAGGAAGGTAAAGTAAGTGGGGAACTGAAAAAAAAAAAAACGAGTTGGCTTTATAGCAGTCTCATTTCAGTAAACTGCTGGTTAGGTATGAAATATGCCACATGGTGTCCGTAAGAGACTTGGTGAAAATATGTTGGAAATTTGAGAGTAACCTGTTTATTTGTCACCCCAACAACTCAGTTATTAACAAGGATTGAATGGTTGTACTTAGTTGTGGGTGTATTAGTGTGTGGTTTTCTATAGAAACAGAAAATGCAGAGTAAATATTCTAACATTAAATATTAGAGACAACACACTGACAACATACATTATTATACTTCATCTCATTAAACAACAAATTAAACCCCATGTAGCCTACTATTTAAATCGATTGCTGGACGTCGTAATGTTATTGTAGCATAAATCTGATTTAGCATTTTATTAGCAACCCCCACCCCACCTGTTCCACCCACTTTTTAAAACAAAGTTACGTCACTGATTTTTATGTTTATATGTTTACTTAAATGTTATATGGTGTTTTACCAAAGTGTCTAATCATTTTTACAGATAAATTGCTTTAATACCAATTACCAAGGTGACCTGTAAAATACTTCTGCTGTCAGGAAAGCCAAATCAAGTTCTTATACCTGTCCTGACCTGAGCACAAGCTCTCATTCTAATCCTGAAAGCCTTAAATAACATATTTAAATACTTTAAGTCATTAAATTCCTTTAAATTGATAATATCACCTGTATACCTAATTACAGTTTGTCTGAGTGCCCAATTTCAGAACAAAAAGGTTTGAAAAAGCGCCCCCTGCTTGCTATAGCTGTAAATGTAAGCACAACAAAAGCTCACGTTGTTTTCCAAAGACAGATATTGATTACAGTGGTCTGTATCTTAAACCTGCAGTGATCATAAACCTGCATTGGTTACCTCCACTGTAACTGATTTCCCCACACACGTTAATGCTTTGATGTTAAAGCTAGAATGTCCACTAATGTGTTTATTTACAAAAAGGCATGAGTGGAGAAAAACAAGTTAATTTTATTTTTATCTAAATTGTCATAAAATTAATTGTCATAAAAAAAATTAATTGTCATAAAACTGCTATTTAAATATATTATTCATATAGGTTATACAAAAAACCTGAATAAGCTGATCTATAGAATGTAAACTGGTGGTAGCCTAGTCTATGAAAGGTACACCCCTCTAAGCTCACACAAATGGTTAGACCCAAGTCTTCAGCAGCCAATGACACGGACCCGTTCATACTGATTTTTAACGCGTATTTCACGCGTATTTTACGTGTAAAATACACGTGAAATACGCGTATTTTACACGTGAAATACGCGTTGATTATGTCACGCGTATTTCACGCGTATTTTACGTGTATTTTACACGTGAAATACGCGTGAAATACGCGTGACATAATCAACGCGTATTTCACGCGTAAAATACACGTATTTTACGCGTGAAATACGCGTGAAATACGCGTTAAAATTCGCGTGTTTTTGGCCCTAACGGCTTTCCATACAAAGCATCCCGGGAAGGCGGCGCTTCATTTGGAAAAATGCTGCGAGTCAAAAAGCTGGCCGATGCCCAGCTTTATGCAAATGAATCCGCCAAACGCGACGCGTCTATCCAAGAAGTAGTCTCTCGAGGGGCCTTTGTTCTAGACTGGCCGCTGGGTCAAAACCACGCCCATAGCGGTAAACTTGAGGAACGCCCATCAACTTACAAATGTGGAGAGGCGTGCGACACCACGCTTCAGTCGTGTCGCAAAAGTGGATCAGTACCGTTACAGAGCGCGTTTCGTCACTACCTTGAAAGAGAAGCGGCAGGAAGCTAGAAGAAGCTAGTCATAAACACCGTGAGTAGTGACTTTTCCCTTGTCAGTGGTGTAAATATGTAGTTGGATTGTTTCATGTAACTTAATTCTTCTCCCTCGCTGTGTTATGGCTTTGGGGATAAATGTGCTGGTTAAGTTCGTGAGACAGCTGATTAGTAGGCTACTCTTGTCATTGACCGTAAAACAGTTACAGGAATCACCAACCCGTCGATCTTGGAAGCATTTTAAGTCGATCGAGTTTCCAAAATCAGAGAAAAAAAAGCCTATTGTGTGTGTAGTAAGTGTGTCTAGGGATGCGGAGGCGCGCGCGCTGTTACAATCACGTCATTTTTGCCGCGCGCACCTTTGGGCTCATGCGGACGCGTCAGGTTTAAACAAGGCTTTACGCTTTAACCAGCTCAGCCACAGTAACAGCTCATATTAGCCAGCTAAACTTTTACTACCCTGTTAGAAAAAATATATAGTTGCATATTTTCATGTGGTTCTTCTCCCTCGCTGTATTATGGGTTTGCTATGTGGGGAGAATGTGCTGGTTACGTTCGTGAGACAATCAGCTGATTACTATCATTATATTATGTAACATTAAGACCCTTGATCCTCACCTGAAACTTTATCCATGATGTGGTTTATAATGGACTGTGGTACAGAAACTTGGTTTACGCTGGCTATTCTCTGCTGTCTCCAGTCGACGATGTTTGTCCCGTTTTAGCCACCGTAGCTTCTTCGAAAGGGCTGAGCCCTTAGTGTAAACTCGCAACCGAACCGCTAGATGTCGCCAAAGATCACACACTGGACCTTTAAAGCTCTCTGCTCACCACAAAACGCGGTTTGACAACAGAACCGGAAAAGAATACAATGCTGAATAAAGTCGTAGTTTTTGTTATTTTTGGACCAAAATGTATTTTCGATGCTTCAAAACATTCTAACTAACCCACTGATGTCACATGGACTACTTTGATGATGTCTTTATTTCCTTTCTGGACAAGGACAGTATACCGTACATACATTTTAAATGGAGTGACAGAAAGCTCTCGAACTAAATCTAAAATATCTTAAACTGTGTTCCGAAGATGAACGAAGATGAGGTCTTACGGGCTTTGGACGACATGAGGGTGAGTCATTAATGACATAATTTTCATTTTTGGGTGAACTAACCCTTTAATGTGAAACTGTGGAGGCACCAAGATGAATTTGCTACTTAAAGGAATAGTTCACCCAAAAATTAAATTCTGTCATAATTTACTCACCCTCAAGTTGTTTCAAACCTGTATGAAATTCTTTCTTCTGCTGAACACAAAAAAATAAATATTTTTTTTTAAGAATGTTGGTAACCAAACAGTTGATGTGCCCCATTGACTTCCATAGTATTTTTTCTCTACTATGGAAGTCAATGGGGCCCATCGACTGTTTGGTTACCAACATTCTTTGGAACAACTTGAGGGTGAGTAAATGATGAGAGAATTTTATTTTTGGGTGAACTATCCCTTTAAGGCATTTGAATTTCGAGGTGACACATTTTTTTTTTACCTTCTCTCACTACACTACTAGGATACTGGGAAAAGCAATTGACTGGAAGAGAGTTCAGCTGGACATAGAGACCATCTGCTCTGAAAATTACTACACCATACAGTACCTTGCCAGGAACCACAGCGCGAGAGAAGAGTTTGTTGAGCTGGACGAGCTCGTTGGGAGTCGTGTCAAACTTCAACGCAATGCTGTTGAGTGTGTCCCGAGACTCCACCTAGGCACACAAAAACAAAAGTTAGATATTTTATTAGCTAAAAAAAGTTCTAAAATGAAGACATCAGCTTCCAAGTAACACGGCTGCTGACTAAACATTTGAATGCATCTGTTGGAACAGCAAATCAAGGCCCCAGTGAAAACCATCCAATGCATTTTATGAGACCTCCATCTGTAACAGAATGCATCATCTAAAACTACTGTTCCCTTTGTCTCCTATCCATCTGGAAAAAAAAAGTGTAAAATGAAAAAGAAAACAGCATTATTTTATTTTCGTAATTGCTACATTCATCCAGTGTGTAGCATATGTAAAATACACAATAAAAATTGTAAACAACTAAAAAACAAAAACCTGTACTAGTCCAAAAGAATAAGCCCACAGCTAAAATGTGACCGTTTAAATGTGATTTTGTCCATTTAAACCTAATGGGTATGTCCAAAAAACATAGTGAGATGCATAATTAAACAGCTTTATATAAGCTCTAACTCACCAGGTGTGAAATCAATATCTTTTTGATGGTTTGATTGTGGCTGAAGCCAGAGCGCTAACCGTTCTCTCAACATACAATATCTGTCCATCAATGCCATGCAAATAGCATTCAAGAATCTCTGAATCTCTAAATGTCAGGTTTAACACACAAAAGAGCGCACGGAGTGACGTATTGAGCCGGCTTCATGATGCCCACCGAGTCTGAAAAGCTTTGAAATATATCGAGCCCCATAAAAACAAAAGCATCTTTGTGCCACAAAAGATGTTTGACAAATGGTTTGATGAAACATTATAGAAACATAACATCTATAGAAATGACGACATATAAAAAAAGCATCCAGTGAATTCAGTCATTATCTCGAGACACACATTTAAGCACATTCAGACTGCATGATGCATGAGTGTGTTTACTGCAATGGCGACGGTGAGGAATTCATCCTCCCTGCAGTTGCAAGATGTGACATTTGTATGTTTTGATAAGTCCCCAGGTGGCAGGATCTCAGATCACCGGATCACTCAGTCACCTGATCCAAATCATTGATTCTCATTGGGTATCGCTTACAGTCCAACAGCCGGACATAAATAATTGAGAGCCATCTCTCCGTCTGCATTCAATTTATCCTTTAGAGGCATCCTTCACTGAGTCTCACACACATTTGCATATTATATATATATATATGTGTGTGTGTGTGTGTGTGTGTGTGTGTGTGTGTGCACAAACACATATAAACAAACATATACATGAACACAAGGAGAAAATAATAAAGTTTCAAATAGTTTGGATGTAATACATTGTCTATTTCAAAAGATATCTTTAACAGTTTTTCATCAAATCTTCTATCCACGTGTAAACCCCACTTCCAATATCTGCTATGGAATGAAAACTCATATGAGGTACATGGATCTCATCACAACCTGAGGAATGAAGTACAGTCGCTGTGTAGCTCTAAGAGCATTGATTGATTAAGCCCATCAATCTCTGTGGTCACAGGGCCACAAATCACTATGATTGGTTAGTGTGGATATTAGGGTGTGCAATTACACATGGAAAGTGTATGGTTTCACAACACTGACAATAAGAAAGAGAAAGGTGGGGGCTTGGTTACAAAACAGAAACAGTTCCAGCTAAAAAACTTCTGGAAATTCTTTTTAATGCCTTAATAGCAGTTTCATGCCAACTTTTCCAGTGACCAGGGAATATAGAAAAGGCAGACATCGATATCCCAACCTCAAGTATTTGGGATGTAACTTGCACTGCACCATTTGTGCTAAAGACACGAATGAGACTATCATTTTGAGGAGAAGCTATTACTTTCTCAAGTGATCAGACGATTTTCACCTGATGGATGATTCAGAGAGAATATCATAGAAAATTTGTGGTGGACTCTTTTGACCTGCACCAATAAACATTCACCTAGCAACCACCCTGATTGCCTTGGCAACTGCAACACCTTGTAAAACACACAATTCCTTAGGCATCATAGCAGCTAGTTTTGCAAGGGTGCCACTCACATTTTCTTTTTCTCTAGAAAATGCAAAAATCTACTTTTGACACTGATATCATAGTATATTATAAAATGTATACTTGCATGAGTAGTAGCTCAAATTTAACATGCTTTAAGTAAAATCAGACATTAAAACCTTTTAACATGCAGTAAAATGGTTGAAAAAAATCCTGATCAGGGTTAACTAAAACTATTTAAAAAATGTTTGTTAATAGAAATAAAGCTGAAATAAAATTTAAATAGTAGATGAAAAACATAAAAATGTAATGAAAATTTGAAATATTGCCTTGACAATTAAAATTTAAACAGTTGAAACAATAAAATTATTAACTGGAAATAAATAAAAAACCTAAAACTGAGTAAATAAAATCTGAATATAAAAATGTAATAAAAATCTAAATATTTAAAAATAACAAAATATATATTAAAAAATTACAAAAACATCAAACAAAATTAGAAAACAAATTAAATAAACAAATTAAATTAAACTAAACTGAAAATATAAAAAAAAGCTAATGCAAAATATTAATAAAAACTATAACAGAAACAATACAAAAAGGAAATTAATAATACAAAAATTACACTGGTCATAATATTATTTTATTACATTATATTTTATTTATTAGTTTAATCAGATCAATGCTATAATTGATATAAAAAAACTACATTTACAAAATAATAATAATAATAATAAACTACACATAAACAATAAAATATAAATAAAATAAAAATAAAATAATCCCTGTGCTGTATATACACACACACAGACTTTCTAAATAAATCTGTGTTCCGTGCACATAAAGGTTTGTCTAAAGGAAGCAGGCTGACAGAAGCACCAGTGGTCTGCCACCCCGTCTCCCAGCATCCCCGGCAATGCCACTGTTACCATGGAGAAAGTCACCACCTGATTTGAGGTCATCTCAAGAGCATATGGAAAAGCTCTCTCTCGCTTTCTCTTTCTCTCAATCTTTCTCAAATCGTTTAAAATGATAAAAGCAGGAGAAAGGCATGTTTCTGAATCTGAACAGACCTTAAATGCTCAAAAAATAAGATGTCCCACAATCCTCTAATATAGCCATTTTATTACACGCTTTACATATTTTCCTTTCACAACACCTTGTTTCACTGCTGCAAACAGACAGCAGGTAAACTAACTACTGTACCATGAAAAACAGCAATTAAAGTAATATCTGCTGAACATACCAACAGCACTGCAACGGGAGTGAATCATACCTGATGTGCACGCTCACATTTCCATCCCAAACATAATTACATACATGCGGCTGTGTGTACACACAATCATCCTTAGTCAAGCGGACACACACACACACACACACACCGGTGCATTATGTAAACAGAGCCACCTGGATCAGACAGACAACACCTACTACTCACCACATACTCCATGGTGCCTTTGGGCCTCTGGAAGGATATCCTCCGGACATCTTTCCTCTCCAGCGCACTCTTTTTCTGCCCGGTGTCTGAAAGTAAACGAGGGAGAGTGTGGGTTACGCTAGTCATGGTCCTCCTCTCTCTTCTCATCTCCTCTGCACTCCTCGCGGTCTGTACCCCCCCACCACCACCCCTCGTCCGTTAGCATCAGCCGCGGAGCGACAGAGAGAGAGAGAGGAGGCTTGTTAGTCCGCCAGCCCACACAGACACACACACACACACACATACACACAGGGGAGTGGCTCTCGGCTATCACTGTGTGCTTGGATACACCTCTCCAGCCCCGGTCTACTGGGACGTATGACCCGGTCTGAGTCTAAGTTTCCCGGTGACAAGAAAATGCCATTAAACGGACGAGATGTTTTGTGAACGGGTTATAAATGTCATTTTTATGAGCATACTTATGCGGGGATCAATGCACTATGCCGGCGGATACCATATGTGAACGTCTGTGAGTTTATAGAGCAGAAGATTTGATTCTGATATTTGGACCTGCCTAATAAAATAAACTACACTTGCATTTGGGTGATTTATGTTTGGTTATGATTGGTGATGATTAAAATCTCCACTTAATGACATTTAAAAGAAATTATATTGTGAACATCTTTATTCTTAATGGTTTTCAGATTTTTTTTCTATACTAAAAAAAATCCATAATTCAACTTAAGTTTTTAAGTTGCTGCCTTAAATTTTTAAGTATAATCAAATTAACTGTATAATCATTATTTTGATGAATTGAAGTAGCCTAATGGAAAAACATGTTGTCATGATTTATTGATCTTATTTTTTTATAGTGAAGTTAGAAAAATCACAATGTTGTGGTTCCTCATTATTTTTCGGTATAATGTATTAAAACGAAATGTAAAATAATGTAAAAGTAAAATAATGTAATGAAAATAAAACATGCCTATTCCTTGCCTAACTCTCCAATTTGGTTACAACTAAAATCATAAAAACATGAATTATCACAAGTTCTTAAAACTATGAAACTCAAAAAACAAATTTATATAGAGAATAATTTCTAATCAAACCTTAGTTTTGGTAAATGACGCAAAAAATTTAGAAAAATGAATTTGTATATTTTGTATAGCTAAAATGCAAGATAATGGAGTTGGACAGATTACATAAACTACATGGCCGAAAGTGGGCATAGTTGAAGAAATACTATATCTATAACAAAACAAAGCTCATTAGTTACAGAATAAACATTGTAGCTTTTATTTCTGCATAATTATAATTTCTGTCACAAAACTGAACAAATCCCATTTCCTCTTGTCTGTACATTTATTGAATATTGATGTTTAAAATATTTAATTGTGTCTACACCAATTTCACAGAATACCACAGATTTTGCCAAAAAGTCCGTGCAGAAAATGTGAACAAAGTCATTAGTGATATACTAATAAACACCCTGCACGGCTGCACAATGTAAAAAATGTCTTTGGGTTTATTTTATTTTTAACCAATTTTAATTTTCTCAGTATTGTTTATGAATCGACAGATTCTGTCGCATTAAAAAGAAATAATTCTCTTGGTCACAAAGGCTGCATTTTTAAAATAAAAAAATACAGTAAAACAGTAATATTGAGAAATATTATAATTTAAAATAGCTGTTTTCTATTGTTAACATATTTTAAAATGTACTGCATTACTGTGATGCAAAGCTGAATTTTCATCATTATTACTCCAGTCTTCAGTGTCACATGATCCTTCAGAAATCATTTTAATACACTGATTTACTGCTTAAGAAACATTTCATATTATTATCAATGTTTGAAACAGTTGTGCTAGTTAATATTTTTGCGGAGACTGCATTTATTTGCATTGTCTTTTTTGCGGCCACTTTTGATTAATTTAATGCATCCTTGCTGAATGAAAAAAAAAAGTCTTACAGACCTCAAACTTTTGAACAGTGTAATACCAAAACCTCAATTTGACACAAGCAGCCAACAAACGCTAGTCTAAAAGACCACTGACAGCAAATCAGCCATGACATTCCCCTTGCTATCTGCTCAGGACAAGAAATCACAGCTCTGAGCCTCCTATTATCTTGGCACCTTCCGGCATGACAGGTTATTTTTAGAAGCAGGTTCCCACCAGTGTCGGAAATGGCCCCCTGACTGATACCCACGAGCAGATGCCTTCACAGACGCTCGCCGACGGGGGTGAAGGGTCTCTGGATGAGAATGGAAGGTGTCCACTTTGACACGGGCTTCCTGTAGAGTTTAGTTTCAATTCACCCCAGACAAACTAATCAAGATCACCTGAAATGGTACGAGCTGGTGGAATACAACAGGGTTTGAGCAGAATTGAGGATTCCTGATCGCATTCATCCGGTAGCTGAACTTTCAATTCATACTGCAAATGACAGGTTCTTCAAAAGAAAATCATCACCACTAGTAGTCAAAGTATAAGACAGAACTTCTCTTAACTAGGCTTGAGTGTGCATTAAAAAACTCATTCTCGTTAAAAGACAACTCAAGGGATGATATATACTCTCTGACCACATCTGATTGTTCGTTATTCGAAGATTAAAGGAAGCTGGTGTGGCAATTAAAGTCATTCTTACTCAGTGTAAGCCTGATGTAAAGACGGCGTACCAGGATTATTTGAAATGCCAGCTGCACACTTCAACCCAAATGAGAGCCCAGGGACTTCTCTGTCAAAGCACCTGAGCTAGAGGCTGAGGGGAGCTGAGGATACAGCATGAGCATTAAACACGACTTACGCAGGCCAATTTATTCCATGGTGTCCCTTTTGTCCCACAAATATCCCATCATAATGAAACTGCAAGGGCCAGCAGTTTAAGCCAAGCTTTAAAGGGACCAGATATTGGGGATTTAAAAAAAGGATTTTACTTGCTCAGTTCAGTGCACCATTTAGAAACAAAACTGCCTTTAAAGAACTTTCAGATGAATACTAAGCTGAAAAAAGGCAATTCCAAAACAGGCATGGTTATGATGTCAGAACAACAAGCATATTAAAGGGTTAGTTCACCCAAAAAAGAATTACTCGCCCTCATGTTGTTCCAACCCCGTAAGACTTTCGTTCATCTTCGGAACACAAATTAAGATATTTTTTATTAAATCTGAGAGCTGGATCACTCCTCCATAGGCTTTTAAGGGATTGAAACTTGCCGGCCCAGAAAAGTTATTAAAGACATCGTTAAAATAGTCCAAGTGACTACAGTGGCTCAATCTTAAGTTTATCAAGCAACGAGAATACTTTTTGTGCGCAAAAAAACAACAAAAATAACGACTTTATTCAACTATTCATTTCCTTCTTTGTGGGCCTCGAGATAGTTCACGTAGTGTAACAGCGTAGGGCTTCTGTGCTGTACAGTACGTCACACGTACACTGTAAAAAAATTGCTGTAGTTATGCAGCTGTTTGCCAGTAACTTACTGTAGATTTAAATTGATGTATATTTAGTGGCAACAGTTTGTTCAAAGTTAAATGAACATTAAACATTAACAAGTCTTTGTCTTTACAGAATAAAATGATAAAATAACAATCTAATGCAAAGCATTCTGGGAACCAGAAATCTTCATCAACCTTTTTCTGTTTTTTTCCTTCAGATTTTGGTTCCCAGAATGCTTTGCATGAGGTTGTTATTTTAATTTTATTCTGTAAAAATAAAGACTTGTTAATGTTTAATGTTCATTTAACTTTGAACAAACTGTTGCCAGTAAATAACATAAATTTAAAACTACAGTAAGTTACTGGCAAGCAGCTGCCAGTAATACTGTAATTTCTACAGATTTTCTTTACAGTGTAGGCTCACTATTGGCCGACCCTGGTCATGTGTGTGATGCATGTGTGTGAACTATCCCTTTAACATATGACCGCCTATAATACACATGAACACATTCAGTATTCAGCAACTTGGCCCGCCCTAATGAACGGCACCGTGAACTACACCAGTATGCAGAGGTTAACCAATCATGACAGATATAGGGCTTTTGAGACTGCGGAAGTCATTAAAAGTTGCATTTTCAGTTGAATTTGCAGAAACCACTTGAAACATTTGTCGTGTTGATTACTTTTGTTTGATTTGTTCATTGCAAACACCTGAAAGTCTAAATTTTGCCAACAAACCTGATTTGCAATGGGGGCTGAATAATTTAGATTGCAACTGTAGAGAACTCTTTAAGGATTAGTTCACTCCAGAATTAAAATTCGGATCATTTACTCACCCCCATGTCATGTGCGTAAATTATCAGGAAATTTTAATTCTGGAGTGAACTAGAGTGTCAGGTTGAAGAATGTTTGAGGGAGGATATGGCCGTCTAAATAAAGATTCTTACACTTTAAGAAGGCATTTTTACAGTTTCTATTCTCTTGCAGTGAGATTTGCTGGAGACCAAAGCGGGGAGGGTTAAAAAGTGTGTAGGTCAGCTGTGAGAAACACCAACTCAGCAGTCTGCTGTCTCCTCCTATCACCTGTCACATTACAGGCGAGTGGAGCAGGACTCTGGAGTCATTACATGGATTTATAAACCGCTGTCAATCAAAGTCTCTGTCACTCCCTCCACTCCCCAGCTGCGGGATAGCACGAGTTACTCGAATCAACAGCTTTTAGAGTGGAGATTGATTATTGCTGAAAAGAGGTAGAAGGTATCTGGATTTATCATAAGACAGCTGTTTCAATAAAATAAAATATAAACTTTACATGCAATCAATCACACAGAATACCCTGGCAACCACACATGTTGAAACATGGTTCAAACAACACCTGTGAGAATGTGACATTTTTTACAATTTACATTTACAACGTGACTAGGTATTGAATAAATTGTTAACAAGCATTTGAAATGTACTTAATAGTATAAACCAAATCATTCCATGTTTCACACATTTTGGCAGTTCATCTGCATATTCTAAAGTAGGACATCTGTCACAGCAATAAAACAGCCAGCCTGCAATTAGTGTCAATCACTTTTAGTGAATCTGCAAACGAGAAACGAGTCCGGAGGCAAGTTTAGATTTGTGATAGAAAAAGCTTCATATATTGAGTCAAATTATCCTTG